CGAGCAGAGACCGTCCAGCTCGCGCTCGTCTCGCCTTGCACGCCCTTGACCGGATCGACGACGGGGTAGAAGGCGGAGAAGTGCCACTCGGGCGCGAGGGTGAGCGAGACAGACGCCGAATCGAGCGGAGTCGGCGGGAAGAGGTAGATGACGGGTTTGTCGCCGCGCAACCTCAGAACCAGGTGCAGGACAGCTCCGTCGGTGATCCCGTACCTGCCGAGCGTCTCGCGTTCCTCCAACTGTCTCCCAGCGAAGATCAAGCGCTGCTGGCCGGGCGGCATCCCTTCGCTCCCCTCCAAAACAGCCTTCAAAGCCCAAACCGTAGCGCACGACTCAATGGAGACGTAGATCTAGTCCGATTTGTACAGAGTCAGACACCAATCAAGCGGGCACGTCGAAGACGCACCGTCTTGCCCGTGAGCGTCTTGACGGCAATTGAGATGGTCCTGTGCTTGTCGGCGACCGGTGCGGGGCAAACCATCGTGATACGGAAGAGCGGGAGGTCGTCCTCCCAAACCTCAAACTGCCTCTCCCACGCTCCCTCAGTCACCGTAACCCACCTCCCTCCCGTACACGACCTCTCGACAAACAGCGTCCGGTACCCCTGCGCACCCTGGAGATGGCGAACGATCTGATCGACGAACGTATTGTACGTCCTGTCGGGAAGGTTGACAAGCGTGTCCTTGCCTTCGTAGCGGACGAGGACGAGCGTTGCCTCCGAGGTCGTGCGGGAGAGGAGGGTGTCGGTGCGGGAGGTGCCGGAGCGCTCGGAGCAGGCGACAGAGGCCGTCTCAGAGTCGGTGTTGTGCATCTTGCTCATGGTAAGCAAGCAGACAGCCAGCAAGCGAGGTGTGAGCGGTGCGGAGTGAGGAGAAGGACGAGAAAAGGTGAGCAGGTCCGGGTCGTCGACTCGAGCCGGGGCGCTTTGGCTGCAGCGGCGTACGTAGGGCATCAGTGAGACGGCAAAACAGCTACGGATGGGCCAGCGAAGCAGCACGCACCCGACAAGCGTCTCCTCCCCGCCGACCTTCCCAACTCGCGCCTCTCTCCGCTCGCTCGACGACCAGCAAGAGAGTAGAAAGCCAAGTTACAGTAACCGAGTGTAAAAAGTAGGAGGAAAGGAAAGGGAGGGAGTGCGGGTGCCTGCTACGGTGAGGGAGGAAAGCGAAAGGTGTCGGTGAGAGTGTGAGGAGGAGGACCCTCGCGAACCGAGGCTTTTGAGGGGTGCGTTGCGGCGCCGGGAGTGGGGCCGTCGGCAGTGGCGTTGCGGTACGAGGAAGACGAGTGGAGTACAGTGAGAGCAAAGGGTCTAGGCGGCGGGAGGAGGGCGAGGCGGGAGTGGGTGCGCTTAGATGAGGTCCTGCGCGGCCAAGTCGGAGAGTCAGCGTTTCCGTCTGCTACAGATATAACCTAGGCAGCAATTTACGGCTACGTTCATTGGCATCTCGTCAATCTGTTTGACGGACGCCGGCCGGCGACGAGCGAGGCGGAGAGGCGGAAAGGCGGAGAGGCGGAGAGGCAGGCCGGGTCGAGAAGGACAGGGAGTGTGCATGATGAGATGAAGGGTCGGCGAGATCGGGTGCGCGTTTCATACCGTGAGCCGTTGTGAACGGCGAACCGGGGACAGGAGCCGTTCGTAAGAAGGCGAGAGAGGCGGGCGGAGGACGAGGAGTGAGGTTACAGGCTTGATAGGCATCGAGGGTAGTGAGGTGCCCATGTGGTCGGGAGAGGCGTCGTTAGGCGTTGTGCGCTGATTGTGCCGCGAAGCGTTCCAGCTTGCGCATCGCTCGTCGGCATTGATCCTGTGCGTCGAGGTGTGCTAGCACGGCGTCTGTCTGCTCGAGGCTGCTCAGCAAGAGCTCGAGATGAGGAACGCGAACCGGAACTCACCAAGGCCGCTCCTTCTCGCCGTTGAGGTTCACGTGGTATTCGCTCAGGCAGCTGGAGCTGCGGCGAGTCTGCCGGCGAATGGTTGATGCTTGAGTAGAGGACGTCTGGTGCCGCGTCGGGCGAGAAGAGGGAGGAACTGGTCGCGTAGTCGAGGAGGAACGACATGTCGAGGGGGTTGAGTCTGAGGAGGAGAACGGTGTCGACTGAGGGAAAGGGAGGAAAGGAAAGACGTTGAGCGCTACAGGACACCGCAATGTCATGCTTGCGCCACTTTGGCGGAATCTCGCTCAGCCTAGCGAGAGTCAGCGGGCTGAGTAAACGCGATGGCGCGAGGAGCGAGGAGCGAGGGCTGGCAGAACAGCGAATCGAAGCGTGAACCGGCTCGGTAGGTCAGTAGGCGGTCGAGGGAGACCGTCTTGTCATGAACAGCCAGAAGCGAAGACCTCGCATGGCGAAGCGAGGCGTCCGGACCCGAAAAGAGATGAAGCGGATAGGTGGTCGAGGCGAAGGGGGTTTGCCACCGCAACCGGCGCGACTTGCGTAGTGTGAGCAGTAACACAGCAGTCGTAGCACGCCGTCTAGCACCCTCACAGCTCCCCGCGCGTGAGTCGAGGTGGTCGTCCGGTTCACAGGGAGCAGGCGAACTCACGCGCCAGCTCTCGTCCCGCTGCCACCGCCGGCTGCAGCAATGACGGGCACAGCAGAGCCCAGTGCACACGCTGCACACGCTACAAAGCCAGCAGACCCAGCAGCGACGCTCCCCTCGCCCGTGCAAGACCCGCTCCCCGCGCCCGCATCTTCATCTCGCACCGACTCGCACGCCGCAACAGCCCAGTCCAGCGACCTGTCCAGTCTCGAGAACTCGTCGTCGGCAGAGGACAGCGTCAGGGTCATCGCGCGGCCAGCTCGCAAGGTTGGAAACGCTGCCTCTCCCGCCCTTCGCGCAACCCCGATGCAGCAGCTTCCCAGCAACGACATGCTTCCCAAGCTGCCTGGAAAGGGCGCAGCGAAGAAAGAGGACCGCTTTCGTGAGTCCTGACACCTTTCTAGCGTTCCGGCGGGATTGGTCCGACCAGCTGTACCTTCTCGACTCTGCGACCCCCTTCTCCGACATGATGGATGAGGGGGCGAGGAGCGGCTTTCTCGAGATGGCCGAGCTGACCAATTGGACACCACAGCCTCGCCGCCGCAAGCGCCGCCCACTCCCGCCGCCTCCCACTCCTCCCCCGAGATGCCCAAGATCCCCCTCCCTTCGTTCGTCAAGGAAGACGACCTCTCGTCCGAATCCGACTCGTCCTCCGACGAAGATTCCTACGGGGAAGAGAAGCCGCCCCGCCCCACTCGCTTCTCCAAATCCACAGGCTTGCCCCGTCCCCGACCCAGCTACTACTACGACGCCGACTACGATCCCGGCACGACGGCTGGGAAGAAGAAGAGGCACAGGAGGGGTGGGTTCAAGGGTGTGCCGGTGTTTGAACCGAGCATGGAGGACTTTGCGGCGAACGGAGGGTTCTACGGATATGTCAAGCGGATTGAGAAGTACGGCCTGAGGAGCGGGATCGTCAAGGTCGTCCCGCCCAAGGAGTGGTGCGTTCGCTGAGCCACCTCATGAAGCTGAAGGAGCTGACGAAAGCGCACCCGCAGGTCCGACTCGCTCAAGCCGGTCGACAAGCCCCTGCGCGACATCCGCCTCCGCGACGCGATCGAGCAACACATCTTTGGCTCGCAGGGCGTCTACCGCGTCGCGAACGAAGCCAAGTCGCGCGTGTGGAGCCCGCTGCAGTGGAAGGAGATGTCGCTGCGGCCGAAATGGGACGGGCCGGACTTGTTGGCGGAGGAGAAGAAGGGCGACAGAAGCGAGAGGAGGGCTGTGAGTGAGAGGGTTGCGAAGAGGCAGAATGGGGAGGAGGATGGGGGGAGTGCGAGGAAGAAGGGAAAGGGGAGGCAGGTCGAGGACGAGGGGGAGAGCGATGAGGCGGAGGAAGCGGACGAGGAGGATGCTGCGTTGCCCAAGGGTCGCAGGACGCCCGCTCGCAAGTCAAAGGTCGACACCCCCGCCAAGGCGTCCGCCTCGAAGGCGAAGAAGGAGAAGTCGCCATCGGAGGAGGCACCCGACTTGGCCGCCAAGAAGAAACGCCTCTCTGTCCTACAGCGCAACGAGACGACCGAGGAAGAGTGGCGTGACTTCGTCGACCACTTGTACGAGCTCCCGCACGGCATGACCAAGGACGACTACACGGTCGAGCGCATGCGCGACTTCGAACGCCGGTACTGGCGCACGTTGACATTCGGCGAACCACCCATGTACGGCGCCGATATGGCCGGCTCGCTCTTCGACGACTCGGCGACCGCATGGAACGTTGCCAAGCTCGGCGACTTGTTGCCGAAACTCGCGCCGCAAGACTGCCAGATCCCCGGCGTTGTCACGCCCTATCTCTACTTCGGCATGTGGCGTGCGACCTTCGCTTGGCATGTTGAGGATGCCGACCTGTACTCGATCAACTACATCCACTTCGGCGCGCCCAAGTTCTGGTATTCGGTCCCGCAGGAGCAGGCGGAGCGCTTCGAGCGTGTCATGGAGGGTGCGTCGCGTTCGTTTTGCTCGGCTCGCGTGTTCCCGCTGACATTGAATTCCGCAGGCTTGTTCCCGACGGACCGCTCGAAATGCTCGCAGTTCCTCCGCCACAAAGCCTTCCTCGCCTCTCCCAAGATCCTCGCCAACCACGGCATCACCCTCAACCGCTGCGTCCAGCTCCCCGGCGAGTTTATCCTCACCTACCCGAAGGGCTACCACTCTGGCTTCAACCTCGGCTTCAACTGCGCCGAATCGATCAACTTTGCGACGGAGAGGTGGTTGCCCCTCGGCAAGGTCACGAAGCACTGCCACTGCGTTGAGGACTCGTGCGTCGGTCTGGACGCTCGCCCGTGATCTGTCTCACTGACACGCGCACCGCAGGGTCTCGATCGACGTCAACATCTGGCTTCGACAGGCGGCGAAGGAGGAGCACCTCAAGCGCGGCGACCCTTGGCCGTACGACGAGCTCGAGGAGCAGGCTCTCCTTGCGCAGATCGAGGCCGAGGAGCGCGCCGAGAAGGAGCGCGTCGCCGCTGCTGCCGCTGCCGCCGCTGCAGCGAGGAAGCGCGCTTCGACGGGCGCGGATGGCCAGCCGCGCAAGAAGCCTCGACCCGCAACGACGCACCTCACGCCCCTTCAGCAGCGCTCGCTGTGCCTGACACCCGCCGATCCTGGCGCCATTGGCCCGAGTGTGGTGACGATGACCATCCTCGAGGCGTTGCAGTCGGTCGACATCCTGCCGCACATCCGCCAGCAACTCGCCCTGCTCGTCCAGCGCTCGAACGGCCAGTACACGCACAGCAGCCACATTCGCCTTCAGGTCGTCCCCCACCCTGCGCCGCACCTCATTGCACCTCCTGCTCCGCCTCCTCAGCCCCGCTCGAACCCGTACGGCTCTTCGGCGTACCACTACCCTCAGCAAGCTGTCCAGCCCAAGCCAACGAACAGCTCGGCTGCGTCGACGGCTTCTGCGCCCCCGGCTCCTCCGCCCAAGCCCGACTTCCCTTGCGCGCTCTGTCCCGACTTGAGCACCGAAGGACTCGTCAGGGTTGGCGAGCCGGGCATGAAGAACAAGAAGAAGCTCGAGGCGCACCGCATCTGCGTCATGTTCACCCGTGCGTCCGCTAATATCTCGTTCGCCACACGCGGTCAAGCTGACCTTGACGTTTTGCAGCCGCGACCTGGATCGACGTCGACCCCGAGACGAACGAGGAGATTGTTCGCGGTTTCTCGAAGATCGAGAAAGCCCGCTGGAAGCTCGTGAGTCGTCGCGCTCGCCTCGTACTCGGCCAAGCCTGACGCAGCTTCTTCTCGCAGAAATGCCAACTCTGCACCGAGACGCACGGCACGAAGGGTACGTCGTGCCACCTTGTTCGTCTCCGGTCGCGTCTGACCCGTTGCGCCTGCAGTCCAATGCACGAAGGGCAAGTGCACGAAGGCGTTCCACGTTACCTGCGCCGCCCACGATGACGCCGGGGTGCACCTCGACGCGACTGTTCCCGACGAGGGCAACGAGGGTCAGGAGGTCAGCATCCTCGGCCAGGCGCGCCAGAAGACCCCGACAGCGAACGTACCGACGCAGGAAGGTGCCCAGCCGCCGGCGTCCCCGAGCAAGCAGCCGAACAACGACCTCATCCACCTCACCGTTCTCTGCCGCACGCATAACCCGGTGCGTCCGGCCGTCGTGTGTCTGCTTCCGTAGCTGACGTGCTTGATCTCCCAGGACTACCAACGCCGCGAGTCTGAGCGGAGGGCCGCTGAACTGCGCTCCAAGGTCGAGGCGCTCAAACCTGGCGACCGCATCCGCGTCAAAACGAACAACGGCAACTACGACGTCACGTTTGCTTCGGTGGATAAGGAGAAGGAGATGGTTGCCTATGCGTTCGACGATGGGTGCGTCCGCGCTGTCAGCAGCTCTCGATCATGTGAACTCGCTGACGCTCTATCCCCGTCACACAGCAAGCGCGGATCGGTCAAGTGGAAGAACATCTTGTGGCCCGAGTCGCCCGAGGTCTTGCGGAAGAAGGAGGAGGCCGCCCTTCGCGCTCAGCAGGAGAAGGCCGCCATTCTCGATCGTCCCGCGTACAAGGCGCCGCCGAAACGTGCGAATCCTGCCGTCGTCGTTCCGCTTGCGCCGAGCGCGCCGCCTCCGAACTATGGCTACCAGTACCAGCCGCAGTACTCGTACTACAACGGTCCGGCTGGGCAGTCGTCTTCGACGCCTTACGGCTACGCCCAACCTCCGCACCCCGGCTACGCGTACGGCCCGCCTTCGCAACCCTACCAGTACAGCTATCCGTCCAACATCGCTCCACCTGCGCGATACCCTCCTCCGCCTGGACCTTACGGACCCGCCTACCAGCAGCAGCAGACGCCTGCGCCTCCGACATACCCTGGACCAGCTGCTTCGTCGCCGGCCTACCCGTCCCAGCAAGTCCCGCAGCAGCAGCAGCAAAGGCCGCTACCGCCGTTCGCGTCCTTTGCCAGCATGGCCGCCCAGACGCCGCCTCAGCCCAACGCACACACAAACGCCGCGCCGAGCGCGAGCGCGTAAAGCGCAGCGCCGGTGGCTTTCGGTTCGTCACCCAGGAAGGACCACTCGCTTGATCGCCTCACCCCTCATCTTGGCCGCTTTCTCTCTCGCACACCTGATCTATCTCTCCACTCGCTTGTTGTACCGTCTTTATCGCCGTCTTTGCAGTCTCTCGCACCTCGCTTGTCCCCCTCCTTATTCGAAGGACCCCTCTTCCCTCGCGACCTCGCCACTCTCGCATGTTCTCCGGGTCGTTTGGGTCAAATTGCAGTGCTATCAGTTATCGCAGTAGCCCATTTAGCCCGTTCCCAGCGAGTGAAAGCGGACCTCTTCGCCAGCATCGCCTCCTGGACTTCTTCTCCTCGCTCGCTTGCTCACAAACCGCTTCAGGACCGCTTGCCCGCCATGCTCGGTCTCAAGGCGACGATGGTGCGTCCACTGAGCCGCCTGAGCAACCACCGCACGCGCTGACCATCGTTTTCCCTCATCTTCATCTCCTCGACTGTCGAAACCCCTCACACCTCGACGACTCCTTCCGAACGGCTGAACGGTGCTTCCGGGGTCTTTGCGAGGCTACAGGCCATTATTGACAACTCGGGCGCGCTCGTCGCCGAGTGCGTGAACGTGCTCAAGGTCAAGACGGGTCACGGCATGGCACGGATCGGTGCGTGGGCAATACTCGCAGGTTCGGCAGCTGGAGGAGTGTGAATGCTGACTGAATGCACTGGCGCCCTCACTGCCCACAGGCGACGAGATTGTCGTGGTCGTCAAGAAGGCGCGAGGAGTGGGTCTGCAAACGGGCCAGTCGGCAGCGAACAAGGTCCGCAAGGGAGACGTCCGACGAGCAGTGGTCGTACGAACAAAGTACCCGACCCGCCGACCAGATGGCCGATACATCCGCTTCGACGACAACGCTGCCGTCCTCATCAACCACAAGAAGGAGATGATTGGGAACCGGATTGGCAGTGTCGTTGCGGCAGAATTGAGGGCGAAGGGATGGGGGAAGATCGTGTCGCTGGGTGAGTCGCGGTTGCTCTCGCATCGGCGCGCAGGTCGGATGCTCGCCGGGTCTCCTTGCTCCTTCTCGTGTCGCGGTTGCGCTGACCTCGTTCATCCTGCAGCTCCCAAGGTTGTCTAGGTTATAGGCAGGGAGGGAAGAGGCGGGCGCGGATGCACCAGCCCTGCATTGTACAACACCTTCGCATCTCGAGGCTGCGAGACAGCACGAGAAGCTCACTTGAGCGGAAGTGCGCGAGTCTCGCTTCCCTGTTCGTCCATGTCCCTCTCTCAGCTGCGTCAAGGAGCGCATATGTACGCTGCCTTCGCGAAGCCTCTCGCCCCGCTTTCCCCTCCACTACGCTCCCACTCGCTCTTCGCTGGCTTCGCTCCGGTCGCACATCTCTCGAAAAGTCTTCGATGCTTCTTGTGACGTGTGTTCCAGGATTTTACTGCCGCCGCATCCAGAAGGCCGCCACTGCTCCTGCCGTTGCCGCGCCCAGGACGAAACCGGTCGAGCCCATCACGAAGGGGCACTTGGCTGCGCTGCCGTCCGGATCCTTGACGACAGGGCATGTACCGACGCCAAGCCGACTCGCGAAACTCGCCAGCCAGCCAAGTCCGCCGTACTTGCCGCGATTGACGTCCCAGTACCCTCTCGCCTCATCCTTCTCCCATCCCGCCAACACCTCGTTCCGCATCCGCTCGTCCATCTCGCCGAGCTGCGCCAAGCTCCACTTGTCCGACACCCGGATCATCCAGCCCATTCGTCGCTCGATCGCCTCCTTGCCCGTCCCTTTCTCGATCTCCCTCAAACCCTTCCTCAGCTGTCCGACATTCTCAATCGCCTCGCCCGCGTTCTCCGGTATCGCACGCTCGAGTTTTCGTCGAATGCGAGCTGCGACTCGCGGACCCTTGCCCTGCGTCGAGACCATGACGCCGAGGCTTCCTCGTCGAAGGACCGAGCCGAAGTAGAAGTCGCATTCAGGAGGGACATCGGCGACGTTGACGGGGATGCGGCGAGCTCTGCATAGTCGGCAGATCTTGGTCGAGAGAGTCGGGTTCGGGATAGCGGTGAGGACCATGTCGATCTCGTCTCCGTCGAGCAATGCGAGATCCTCCTTGTTCTGCGTCGGGTCAAACTCCTGCTTCCGCCACTCAATCTCGATACCTTCTCTGCCCTTCTTCGCGTCCTCGCTCTCGCCCTCGACGCGCCATCGAAACTCGTCGTCGATATCCTCGTTGTCCGGTGCGAAGAGGACGAGCTTCTTCGGCCGCGCGCAGAGGAGATGGTAGAGTCGGGATGCGGCGACGGGTCCGCCGCCTGCTAGGAGAATCGTGCGGGTTCGGACTTGATAGGCGAGGAGGAGGGAGTTGGTTGGATGAGGGGCGGGGTAGGGCGAGGGGGTCGAGGAGGAAGACGGGGAGGACATTGCGGGCTGAGCAGGTGATGTAGAAGGAGATGGGACAGGTGAAGGAGTTCGCTGGGCGGGCTGAAGGTAACGTCGATCTGCGAGAGGGCGAGCAAGCGGTGAGCGTATCGTCCGGCGATATGAGACGCCCTCGGGACAGAACAGGGACGCCAGTACGTACAAGTACAGCGGTGTAACCACGCCGCAATGCCCTAGACCTGTCGAGTGCCGACGACGAACGGTCCTGGTTCGAAAGCGATGAGGACGAGGGGAGGGCGGTACAGGTCGCGAGAGCGGGTCGTGGAGGTCTGATGAATTAAAGCAGCGTTCTGCAAGCTTATCTAGCGGCAAGAGGCAGCCCGGCGGGATGAGCAGGCGTTGTGGTCGAGAGCAACCTTCGCTCGCTTCGAAGTCCCTCTCGCAGGTTGTCGTAGTGGCTCGCCTTCACTCGCTGAACCCGAGAGGCTTCTCACGGAGCGATGTACAAGGTCATGGGATGCAGCGAAGACCGGTGCGATTAGCGAAAGTCGCATCAATCCATAGATACTCTTCGCCATCCTCGACACCGACGCCTTAGGCTTGCACGCGATTGCCCGTTCCTAATCCAACGTGCTGCACTCAGATTGCGACTCCTTAAGACTGTGGGCCGGCGAGAGGCGGTGATTGCGAAGTTGAGGAGCGAGCGAGTTCCTCCCTCGTCTTGCTCGAAGGCGATAACTGCGACTCGGTCATACCCTATTCCGAATAGTGTCCAGCAACGATCTGTTGGGCCGTGCGGCGGCTATGGCGCAGTCTTGTTCCGGCGCCTCTGCAGTGTCGTCGACAGCTCGGCAGGAGGACAAACCGCGGCCTGCACCGCGGGTGCGTCTAGCTCAGCGTAGTCGGACCCTCCGCCCCAGACTGACGGCTGAGCTCGTCGAGACTCGGGGGTCTCGTGGTCGAACAGCATGGCGTGGTCGATGCTGTAAAGGGTTGTCAAGAGGTCTTGTCGAGGCGGTTCCGACGGGAGCGACCAGACTGCGCAGACAATCTGAGAATCTGAGCTGCGTGAGGCAGAAATGAGGGCGTAACTGACCGGTTCCGACAGGAGCTGCGGGCATCACGAGCGGATAGTCGCCGACCTCGAGAGCGTTGACGACGTCCAGCTCGGTCCAGGACGGATGGGACGCGACTTTCTGCTCGATGTATAGTTGCCGGACTGCGTGGAGTGCTGCATAGCGAGTACGGAGCTGGTCAGCGAGGGTAGCAGGACGACGCGGAGAACGAGCGTACCGTAAAGTGCGCCCCATCGCGCCTGCCGCCGCAGAACAACCTCGTCGATCACAGCCATAACGCTCTTGTGTACCTCGCCGTACTCGCGAAGCTGTTTCGCGTGTTCCTCCGTAGCCTTTCCCTGAAACCAGCTGTCGATGGCGTCGTGCGTCCAGGGTGGGCATTCTTCGCTTGGCGGAAACGTGCGGCACACGCAAAGAGAATCGGGAAACCAGGGTCCCAGGTCGTTGTAGAGCAGGCCCCAAGGCAGCAGGCGGTGTATGTAGAGCGGGTCGACGGCGATGTGTGAAGAGATCGATCGAATGGAGGCGGCTCGCGCTCGGTACTGGCGAGGTTCATGCGTAGAAGGAGGGGTGGAAGCGGGAAGCGATGAGGAGGAGGAGAGCGCCAACACGGGCGCGGGACGAGTTCGTTCGAGTCTGCGTGCAGTCAGAAGAGTTCGTAGAGCCTCTGCAGCTCAGCCAACTGCCTCAGCACGGTGAGCGGTCGTCGTGGTCGCTTGCAACCTGTCTCGCTGTCCGTCTCGCTCTTGCACCACGCTTTGTCTGCTTCCTTCCGCTTGCTGTGGCTCCGCACTCGATTGGAAAGTGTCCACGGACGTCGACGATGCAGCTGTGAACCGCCCCGCCTCCTCCACCTCGCGATGCAGCCTCCCTCGCCTCCTCCACACTCGCGACGACTGTCGACACCTCCTCCTCCCGCTCTCCCGCCCAAGATAGCGCCGCCGCCTCCGCCAGCACCGCCAGCGAGCCATGTCGCAATTCCGGTCACGCCAACTCGCTCAGCAACGCACGCTGTCCCCGTTCCTACCCCTCCAACTCCATCAACCTCGACTTCGAGACACCGCACGAACCCCTCTTTCTCCGGACCCCCTCAAGCGCAAAGTCGGAGCACGAGTATCGACTTGACGCCGAGTCGGACGTATGCGCTTGCTGGGACGGGCGATGGAGGGGAGTACGAAGCGTACGAGATGGGTGCCGTTTACGGTGCACGAGGCGCGAGGGAGCGAGATCTGCCAAACTTGCCGTCGAGCGACGACGAGGAGGCAGAAGGGCTGCTTGGAAGGACCGGAGGAGGGCGTGGACAGAGGGGATGGTTCGTGAACGGGAAGAAGAGCAAGAGGCGACGACGGAAGGTGTCGCCGATGTGGATTTGCGGAGGAGCCACAGCGCTCGTCTTGCTCGGCGCAGCGGGATGGTGGCTCTTTGCGCCGCTCGAGAGGCCGTCGCTCGCAGACAAGGCTACGGAAGTCGGCAAAGCGCCCGTCATCCTCCACAATACTCCTTCCTCTGCGACTTCCCCTCTTCCCGCTCCGTCAGTTGTCGATTCGAGCGAATGGGAGGGTGGCCTAGCTCCTGGGAGTAGCGGGAGCGAGACAGCGCAGTGGCAGACGGGAGGAGATGGCGACACGGTCCTGATGTCGAACGGGTCTTCCTTTGTCTACCGGAACGCGCTGTACGTTTCGTCCTCTTCGGCTCGCTACAGAAACCTCATTAACACCGCTCGTTTTCTGCAGAGGCGGCACCTTCACCTCCGACCCGTTCTCGCTCAACGCGCGCCCGCAACGACACGCCAAGTCGCTTGCAGAGCAGTGGGACTGGCAGTACGACCGAATGCACGGCGTCAATCTCGGCGGGTGCGTCTAGCGCGACTCTGACCGCATCAACGACAATTGACTGAACTCCGTCGCGCAGCTGGCTCACGCCTGAACCGTTCATCACGCCCGCCCTTTTCGAGCCCTTCCTGAACGCAACCTACCCGGCTGAAGACGAATGGACGCTATCGGAGGCGCTGATACGAGAAGGAGGCGAGGCGAGGCTTGAAGAGGTGTTGAGGCGGCACTACGATACGTTCATCGTGCGTCCCGCTCGTTCCCTCCTTCCTCCGGCGGCTCTGACGCGCGGCTCGTCCCAGACCGAGATCGATTTCGCAGAGATCGCTTCGGCGGGGCTGAACTGGGTCAGGCTGCCGGTGCCGTACTGGGCCATCAAGAAGTGGGAGGGCGAGCCGTTCTTGGAGAAGGTCGCTTGGGAATGTGCGTCGAGCCTCTCCTGTCTGAGAAGCAGTCCGTTTGGCGGCTTCGGGACTAAAGCTTGGCGTTGTGCGCACAGACGTCCTCAAGGCGGTCGAGTGGGCGAGGAAGTACGGCCTGCGGATCAACTTCGACCTGCACTCCGTGCCGGGGTCGCAGAAGTGCGTATCCTCTTCTCGAGACATCTCGCTCGACGAGGCTGACGCTCGTCCTCCTCGCAGCGGCTGGAACCACTCCGGCCGACTCGGTCCCATCGGCTTCCTCCATTCGCCCTCCGGCATCTCCAACGCCCAGCGCGCGCTCGACCTCATCGCCACGATCGCCGAATGGAGCTCGCGAGACGGCGTCAAGGAGGTTGTGGGGATGTTGAGTATCGTCAACGAGCCGATGTTGCAGGTGATCGGCGAAGGCGCGTTGAGGGGCTTGTGAGTCGCGCCCTCCCTCGTTATTTGCACGTCTAGGGTCCGCGCGCGTCTCGGCGCAGGCTGTCCGCTTACCCTGCCGTTCTGCCAAGCTACCTCCAAGCCTACGAGACGATCCGCAACATCACCGGCTACGGTTCTGGTCCTGTGCGCCTCGTCCAGCTCGACTCTTGCTCCGTCACAGCGCTGACGTTGCATCATTGCGCAGTTCCTCGCGTTCCACGACGGCTTCAAAGGTACTCGGCGTTGGTACCACTTCCTCGAAACGCCGTCGCCCGAAACCGTCGCCGCGGAGACGCCAACTACGTCAGGCGACTTTGTTGGCATCAGCGGGATGGACCGCGTCGGGCTCGACTCGCATCGCTACCTCGCTTTCGCCGAGCCGGACTTGCGGAGCGTGCGGGAGCAGGTCATGAAGGTTCGCCCGCGTCTTTCGCTCTCGGAGGCTGCGATTGCTCACGCTTCGTTGACAGCCGTGCTTGAAGTGGGCGCCCGAGTTCAACAAGACCATGGCGTACTTCGGCATCGCCATCTCGGGCGAGTTTGCGCTTGCCGTGAACGATTGCGGACGGTGCGCTCCCTCCTCATCGCCTTTCAACAGCACGGGCAACTGACTCGCCCGACTTGCAGCTTCCTCAACAACGTCTTCCAGGGCTCGAGGCTCGAAGGAACGTTCCCGAACGCTAGCGCGCCGATGTACCCGCCGAGTGTGCCGATTGGGACGTGCGAGCGGTGGGAGGTGAGTTCTCGCCGTGACGGTCTGCCTGTGGCGCAGCAGTCTCATGCTGTTGCTGGGCTATATCTTCCCGCGGAGGATTGACGCCTTTCCCTGCTTAGGACTACTCGACCTGGACGGACGACTTCAAAGCGTCTCTCCGAGACCTCGCGCTCGCTCAAATGGACACCTTCCAGGTGCGCTGGCACATTTCGCGCAATTGACTCTCGCTAACGGCTTCGGCTTCCGCAGAACTGGTTCTACTGGACCTGGAAGACGCTTCCCTCGACGACCCACCTTCCGCACCTCCCGGCAAACCCGCTCTGGTCCTATTCGCTCGGGCTCCAGGAGGGCTGGATTCCGACCGATCCGCGCGAGGCTCAGGGCTTCTGCTTCGCCTACGAGGAGCAGCATCCGTCGACGACCGGCGAGGCCGTCAAGAAGCGTCCGATCCCTGGTCCGACGGACGGCTGGAAGGTCGGCAAGCCGGCTGAGGGCGAGACGGGGATGTCATACGGTCGCATCGAGCGCGGCTTAGCGGCTGACATGCATCGGGCTGCTTGGCCGCCGCTCGAGTTCGACCTTCCTTCCGCCGACTTCAACGGCGGCGGCCTCGACGTCTCCACCCTCCCGGTCTACACTCGACCTCCGCCGAGCGTTGGCTCGACGCTCGCCTTGCCCGGGCCGGTGGGATCGAAGAAGGTGGACGTAGCGAAGGCGTTGGCGGACGGAAGGTTGCGGTCGTGGGTCAAGCCGATTGAAGGCTGCGAGTATCCCGACACGTGGGCGAGGGACGAGGTGTCGGCTGACGGAGGTGAGCTTTGGAGGGTCGGGATGGCGCGGCCGCAGTGCAGCGTTGGCGGAGTTGGCGTCGCATAGATTCGCTTCTCATGACTCGTTTGTTCTTCTCTCGATACCGCTTGTCGTTTCCTCGCATAGTCTGTTCTCTCTTGTCGCATCCCCGTGTCACGACTACCCCTCTTCGCATGCATTCGCAATCCTAGTTCTTCGTTACCACCCGCAGACCAGCCTTCTTCGCCGCCACCTCTAGCCAAGTCCGCTGGCAGTGGAAAGTCGAATCTATCTGGCGAGAGTATCGTACGAAATGCGAAATGGCGAAGACTTCGGCGTCGTGGTCGTAAAGGTCGAAGGAGAGAGGGCGGAGCGAGGCTGGAGGCGGGCGAGGCGAAGTCGTGGTGTAGCGGTGCCAGGCGTCTTGTTGCTGCGTCAACTGTCGTCAGAACGATAACTTGGCAGATGGCGGGGGGAAAGACTCGCCTTCCGACCAAGCGCCTGCGCCCCCTCGACTCGCGCTCTCCTCATCCGCTGAAAGGTCTCGAGCGCCAGTCCAACACCATCGGCGTCCCCTCCCGCAAGCGCCAGGCACAAAGCAATCGTTGCTCCGTCTTCGACTGCCTGCGAGCCGCCTTGAAAGGAGGTGGGCTGTAGAGAAGTGTTAGGAAGGCTCCGCGAAAGAAGCCCTCTCAGCGAAAACTGGAGCGCACCATCATGCCGTGAACCGAGTCGCCGACGAAGCAGATCTGCGTGCGGAGAGCGCAAGACGTCAGCTACGTACCCTGAGAAGCGAGCGGAATGCAAGAACTCGCCTTTCCGCCCTCGCTGATCCACTCTTCCTCCGGCGGTTCATCCAAGATGGCCCAGTGCAGCGAGCTCGGAAAGTACCCGACAGCGCGCCGCAGTACCGGATCCCAGTCGTGTAAGGACGCGAGGACTTCGTCGATAGGCTTGCGGTCTCGCCAGTCGAGCGAGGCGGAGTGGCCGGCGTCGCGCTGGGTGAAGGTCTGAGAAATGGGGTGAGCATGGGGGAGAGGAGTGAATGGCGAGGAAGACGTACGAAAGCGAGAGAGCGGCTGTTGTCCATCGGGTAGAGGCAGACATGGCTGTCGGGACCAAGCCAAGTGCGGATCTGGCCGTCGAGCAAGTCTGCGCGAAGGAGGGAAGTCAATGGGTCCTCCATGCGCGGGGGATGGAGGAGGACGCACGCGAGACGAGCGGGTCCTGCGCCACCGCTTCGGCAGAGATGGCGGAACGGTGGATTGAGTAGCCCGACGGTTTTCGCTGCTTTTCGAGTCGGTCACGAGGCGCGAGAAGCTTCCGAGCGACCGAGTGTACGCCGTCGGCGGCGATGACGACCTATAAGCTTTCTCAGCACGCCTCGAGAGCCAAAAATTGGAGAATTGAACGCACATCGCCTGGCACGACTTCTCCGCTCCGCAAAACCACTGCAGGCTTATCCTCCGCGTCCCAGTACTTCACGACCTCTGAGTTGAGGCGGATCTGTACACCTAGCAATCGCGCTTCGACGCCGAGGGATCCGAGGAAGGCGGCTCGTCGACCTTGCAAGATCGGCGCGCAGTATTTGGGGGCGCTGGTGCAACGGCCACCACGATCAGCGCTCGTCAGCTTCGCGCAGCCAAGAGGGAGAAGACGGGTGAGGTGACGCACAACTCGCAGACGTTCTCCTCCCAGATCCTCTCGCCCTCCTTGTCTTTGAACAGCCACCACCCGCCCTTACTCGCCGCTTGTGCATACATTTCCTTGCCTACACCCCATCGCATCAACATTTTGCTCGCATTCGAGCCGAACAGGATCGAGTCGCCGTGAGGAGAGATGCCGGAGGAGCGTTCCAGGACGGTCACTGCGAAGCCTTGCCGTGCGCAGGCTATCGCAGCGGACAGGCCGGCTGCAGAAGGAGTCGCAGCGTCAGCAGGTGAGCTAGCCAGCTGCAAACTTGCCCGTTCACTGGAAGAAACGTACCGAATCCTGTTCCGACCACAATCACCCGCAACTTCTGGTCTACCCGCAGACCGCTGAAAGCCAGATCGCTTGGAGCGTACTGTGCGCTCCTTCGCGAGTCGCCAGAATACGCTTCAGCCGGCAGCTGAACAAGGCGGGTGTGCGGCGGCCGTCCTTCGCTGCTGATACTGCTGTCGTAAGAGGTCACAGTCGGCGAGGCGGTAGGCAAGGTTATGTTGGCGCGGAAAGAAGCATCAGAGGAGCCGGAAGAGCCGAGCGAGAACCTGCTCTTGCGCTTCTTGAGGAAGAATGGCATCGTGCGAGCGAGGCCGAATGAGCGTTCGCAGCGCGAGTATGAAGCAAGTCAAGCCTGATCCGGGTCCATCCGCGACCATCGTGCAAAGTCACTGCCGTTGCCGAGCTCAGTCCCCGAGGTCGCGGGATCTGGCGAAACTCTGGAGAATGAGAAGGGCGAGGAAGGGCAGAGGAGGCCGTGCGGAGCGTCTGCCGAGGGTGCCGCGTGGTATAGGAGGCGTGTGAGCGTGCTCAAGCCGCATAATCGCTTCAGGAGGCTCGTCGCGCGAGGAGAGCAGTGTCGAGGAGAGCAACCAGCTCGCCGCAACTCTTCGAGGAGGACGACATCGCTCAGCTCGCTAAATCTGCTAAGAAATGGCTAAGCCTGGGTCCAAGCTAGTGTTTGATTGCGTCGAGTACGCCGCAGCCGCTATCCATCGTTGTCGCCGTCTCCTCACCTCGTCCCCACATCTTCATCGCTCGCAGGATCCCCAAGCGGCATCGTTCGCGCTCGATGCGTCCTAGCCTGTCTGCTGCATCCAGCAATACTAGCTCGGGCCGGTCCACGAACCTCACGACGCCCTCTGCTTCGCCCGACTGTCGAGTCGCGTCAAGCGCGAAGTTGTCGAGGAGGAGGATTGCGCGGCTCTCGTCGCGAAGGCTGAGGAGGTAGACGATAAGCCGAGTCTTGCGGCGTTGCAGGATGTCGCAGAACACAGGCTTCGCGTCCGGGATACCACGCTCGGAAGCGAACTTGGCCTGGCGAACGAGGGCGAGTTCGACAGCCTCGGTGCAGAGGCCGCCTTACAAACGGAGGTCATCGACGTCTTCATGGAGTACCTCCATGGCAACGAGGACAAGTACTCGAAAGGCCTCTTTGAGAATGTCTTCGTCCAGCTCGACCCGACCAGCTCGACCCTGTACGACGCCTGGGAGACACGCAGGCGTGCGCCCAAGCCCGCTCAGCGCGCTGCGATTGAGCGCAGCTTGAGGGAGAACAACGGTCTGCAAATTGGCTATGCGGTCCTCGTTTACGCCGGGCCGATGTTGGAGGAGGAGATCAGGGATATCGTGGCGGCGAGGGAGGAGCGGCGGACGCGGGAGGCTCCGTGGAAGGTGGCGGTTGAGCAGTACGAGGCGGACCTCAAGATCTGGAAGAAGGCGGCAAAGAGGGCAAAGGCGAAGGGAGAAGCGGAGCCGCCAAAGCCGGAGAGGCCGGAGAAGCCGAAGAAGCCTCAGAAGGCGCGGAAGCAGGCGAAGCGGGCAGGCGGGAAGGGGGTCAAGCCGGCTAAGAGGACGCAGCGAGTTCAGGAGGAGATGGAGGATGAGGAGGACGAGCAAGAGGCACACGACGAGGACGACAGCGAGGGCGGCGAACAGGAGGAGGAGCAGGACGATGAGGAGTAGGCAGGCCCACTCTCTCGGCTCTCACCCGCACCATCTTCTGCGTTCTCTCGCATCTTCGCTCCGTCTCAATGCGAGTGATGAACTGTAATCTATGACACAAAGCGCGTGTAACATGCGAGCGAGGGCGCGAGCGAATGAGATGGGAGAGAACGACAAGGGTGTACCGAAGGGAGAGGAGGAAAGGCAATCTACGCGCGACCTTGCGAGTCGCTTTTTGGTGCGAGGCCTTCAGGCGGAGGAAGGCTGGTACATGTAGTCGACAGGCCTGAACGGTCCGCGGGTACCGAACCAGACGCCCTGTTTTCAAACCCATCATCAGCGCTCTACTCGCTCGAGCGGAGCGGGTAAAAGGGGAAGGAGAAAGACGCACCTTGACCAACGCAGACCAGTAAACACGAGGGAAAAAGTCCTTCTTGAGGTGGTAGTAGAAGCGGTTCGGGACGTCTTGGGATCCGAGGATGGGGGCGAAAGTCTCTTTGGGGATGCCGCCGTACTTGAACTCGGCGAGCCTGCGAGCCCAAACCCTCGATGTCAGCTTGCAGAGAGACAAGGAGGGAGGGGAGGGCGGGCACGCACATCAACTCGTCATGACCCGTCAACAACGGGCAACTCGCATACCCATCATACTTGGCGACCAACTCCTTCCCGTCGTGCGCGGCGCGGAGGTTGTCGACGAGCACGGGGGCTTGGGCAGTGATGGCTGCTGCGGTCTTCGAGTTGGGCATCGACGAGGCGTCGCCGAGCGAAAAGATGTTGGAGAATTTCGTGTGTTGGGTGGTCGCGGGGTCGACCGAGACCCAGCCGGCGGCGTCAGCTGCGTTGACACAGGCCTTCGAGTCAGCTACGACCCGATCTAACGAGTACTGAGCAGACTCGAGCAAGAAGCGCCCACGCACCCAACGGCGAACTCTTGACGAAATCCGGCGCGCGTTGGGGCGGCACAACATGCAAGAACCCAAACTCCTCCTCCTTCTTTCCCCCCTCGGGCGTCGCAAACGTCGCCACCTTGCGCTTGTTGTCGATCTCGACGAGGTTGTGGTTGAAGAGTCCGGTGACGGAGCGTTGTTGGCGGATCTTTTCGAGCGCGGCGGAGTATTTCGGGACGCCGAACATGGCTGTGCGAGGGAGGGGAGGGGGTTAGTGGAGAGGGAGAGAGAGGGGAGGAGGAGAGGGACGGACTGGGTGTACCGGTAGCGAAGACAGGCTCGATTTGCTCCCTCACGCCATCCTTGCGCCACTGCGACTCGGCCTGCGTGCGGATCGAGCTCGTCAGTACGTCGAAAGCGAAGATGAGCGTGTAAGGGGTTTGGACGGACCATCCAGAGGATCTGAGAAGGTCGATTCCGCGCGCGAGCGGAGAGGTCAGCTCAGGTAGACGCAGAGGGCGTGAGAGAGCGAAAACGCACCTTCTGCGGCGCACCAGCGCACTTAATGATTCCCGCCGGCTGGGTGAAGATCTGCCCGCGCCATCCGAATCAGTACCTCTCTCTTCGTCTCTCGACAAAGGCGCGAACTCACCGCCCTGCCCTCCTTGAATCCCTGAATGTTCCTCCAGACCTTCTCGCACGAGTCGACCGAGTAGATGGACGAGACGGGTCCCGAAGGGTCCTCGAGCCCTTCGCGGAGTCCTTTGACCGCGTCAAAGTCGATTTTGAGACCGGGCGCGACGACGAGGAAGTCGTACCTGCGTACCAATTGCGACATTACTATCAGCTCCTGATTCACGGAGAAGGAAGGGATGGGCAAGGAACGCACTTGATCTTCGAGTCGTCCGAGGTGGTGACCTGGTTCTGGTCCGGCTGGAACGTCTCGACAGCCGTCTCGTATCGCTTTACACCTTGCGGGATGACCTCGTTCATGGGCTTGTGCATGAGCGAGAGCGGTTGGAGGCCTGCTCCACTGCGTCCCGGGGGAGGGTCAGCTCGTCGAGTAGGATATCGGAACGCAAGGAGGAAGGCTGGGACGCACACGAGAGTCCATCCTGGCTGGTCTGTGGCGCGCGCGAGATCCGAATCAGTTCTGCTCGCTCCGAAACGCGTCGAGCACGCCACTTTGGCTGATGAAGATTCGAGAGAGGACGCACAGTGGTGAGTCTGTGCAGGCTCGACGATGGCAATGTCGCCCTCTTTGAGTGCGCGGCCCTCTGCAGCAAAGGCGCGCTCGAGCTGTGCGGCGACCGAGACGCCTGCTGTGCCTCCGCCGACAATCACGACCTTGTGCTGGTGGGTCGAGGCGAAGCGGGCGAAGGGGCGGGCTGGTGCGGGAGTGCGCAGGAGCACGGCGGGACGAGTGGCGGCGGCGAGCATCTCGACTGTGAGGTGGAGTGCGTGTGAGCGATGGAGCGAGAGAGCGGGGTCGAGGAGGAGCAGGGGCTCGGGTATGAGTATGAGTGGCTGCGATGCGGCTATTGGACTGAATACTAATTGCTATCACTATGGAATGCACGCCTGTCCTCGGGAATCTGCTCGACTTGCGAGTGGTCATCCTGCTCGGGAACAGACACACCTGCGTCGTCCACTCGCTCTCTCTCGCTCTTGTCGTTGTTCATTCACAAGCTCGCACTCACACGCTACGCATGCGCCTGCCCGCTCACATCGCCCGCTCCTGCTGCTCGCACATCGCACGCTGCTCACCCTCGTCCCGCTCCGTCTTCCCCACCCACACCCGGCTCGCCTCGACCTCGACACACCTCGCACGCACTCACACTCGCACGACCACCTCGCACGCCATGGCCACTCGCACAGCATCCACCACCGCAACGACGGCCAACCCCCTCACCCCCTTCCGCACCCACACTCCCTCGCCGACCGCACTCCCCTCGACCCCGCTCACCCACGTCTTCTGGGACACACGCACCTCGACCTGGACTTACCTCGTCGTCGACCCTGCCACCCGCCGCGCAGCCATCATCGACTCGGTCCTCGACTTTGACCCGCAGACCAACACCGTCTCGACCGAGTCGGCCGACGGACTTGTCGCGTTCGTCGAGCGCGAGGGAATCACGGTTGAGAGGATCCTCGAGACGCATGCCCACGCGGACCATCTCACGGCGGCGGCGTACCTCCAACTCCGTCTCTCGCCTGAAGGCGGCCCTCGCATTCCCATCGGCATCCACCGCGGGATCCGCGCGACTCAGGCGCACTTTGCCAACTTGTACGACGTGCCGATGAGCGAACTCGAGGGCGTGTTCGACGAGGTCTACGACGAGGGGGACGAGATTACGGTTGGTGAGTGCAAGGGACAGGTGTGGCACCTCCCTGGGCACACCGAGTGCTCGGGCGGATACGTCTGGGGCGAATACGTCTACACGGGTGACTCGGTCCTCCTCGTGCGTTCCTTTCGCTCTCCTCCCCTTCGCTCTCACTAACCCTCGCTCGCTCGCGCCCTCACTCGCAGCCCGCCATCGGTTCCGCCCGCGTCGACTTCCCCGCCGGCTCGGCCTCTCGCCTCTACACCTCCTCTCAGCGCCTGCTCTCCCTCCCATCTCACTTCCGCCTCTTCAGCGGCCACAACTACCCCTCCTCCCCTTCCTTCGAAGACGGGAACCGCTGTTCTGCGACGGTGAAGGAACAGAGGGAACTGAATAAGCACTTTAAGGAGGGCACGGGGAAGGAGGAGTTTGTAAAGCTGAGGGAGGAGAGGGACAAGCAGTTGCAGGAACCGAGGTTGTTGCACCAGTCGCTTCAGGTGCGCCTTCCCCTCCTACTCTCTCTCCGCTACAAGAGCAGCGTACTGATGAGCCTGGCGTGTGCGAGCAGGTCAACATCCGCGCCGGCCGCCTGCCCAAAAACTCGCAAGGCAAACCGTTCTTCCGCATCCCCGTTCACGCTCCGGCGGTACTCTGAGCCCGCTCGCATTGTACATGTTGGCTTGCTTGAGGTGCAATGAGCGGTTGGGGTTGGGGCGAGAGGGGAGGAGGAGAGGGAGGACCTTCGCAAGAACGGCGGGTTTAGCTTCGGTGGATCGTCTGCGCTCGACTCGCTTGCTTCGACACGCGCTTGCTCGCTGCCGCGCTCTGACCTCGGTACACCAGCACGCCCATCTTGTGCTCTTCTCCTCGTCAACGTTCGTTGTTGCTCGGACGCGATCTGCCCGACCTCCACCCTCCACTCTCCAGCACTCCGTCATCCATCGCACGCAAAAGTCCGGGCAACAACCCGGAAGAGGCAACTCGTTGCTATTGCTTACTGGCGAGGGATAAGGAGTGTGTATGGTGCGAATCTCGCGAGGGAGGAGGATAAGGACGGGGTCGGGCGGAGGAAGGAGGGCAAGAGGGCCTCCTCCACTCTGCCCCTTCTCTCTCTCTCTCTTCTGCTTCGTCCCACTCACTCGACGAAGCGTCTCGCACACACCTACACCTCGAAGCAGCCCAGCCAACCCGCTCAAACACCTCCGCAAACACCTCCGCGAACAATCATGTCCTCCTCCCAAGTCCCCGCCAAGTTCCACGGCTGGTGCGCCCTCGGCACCGACTCGATCCAGGGCAAATTCGTCTGGCAGGAGTACGAGCCAAAGGCTTTCGCCGACGACGACGTCGATATCAAGATCATGTACTGTGGTGTATGCCTGACTTTCGCTCGAATCGCTGAGCATCGAGGACTGATTGTTGGTTCGGTGGGATGCAGATTTGCGCTTCGGACTTGCACACTGCGTCGGGCGGTACGTCCCATCGCTCCTCTCCGGACTCCGCTCGCCCAGCCTTCTCTCCTTCCTCCTTCCCCCGCTCACGCTCCCCTTTCGCACAGGCTGGGGCTCAGTCGACTACCCGCAAGTCGTCGGCCACGAGATCCTCGGCGAAGCCGTCCGCGTCGGTTCAAAGGTTTCGCACGTCAAGGTCGGTGACATTGTGGGCGTCGGAGCGCAGAACGATTCGTGCCTTGAGTGCGGGCAGTGCAAGGTGCGTCTTGGTTCGCTCGCTTAGGAGCAGGCGAAGAAGAGGAGCGAGCGCTCGGGAGGGTGAGAAGGAGCTGATGGACCTTGTATGTTGCGCAGAACAACCGCGAGCAGTACTGCGACGTCGGACAGGTCGGGTACGTCCTTCGTTCTCTCCTCGCGCTGTCCGAGGAGACAGGGCGAGGCGTTGCGCATCGAGAGTGAAGAGTTGATCACTTCCTCTCCCTTCCTTTCTCAATCCTCCTCCTCTCCCTCCGCTCTTCCCTCCTTTCATCGCGCTCTCCCCACCTACCTCCCGCTCCACAGCACTTACAACGGCAAGTACTTCCGCGAAGGCCCCGGCAAAGGCGCCAAGTCGTACGGCGGATACGCCGACTACCACCGCGCCCCCGGCCACTTCGTCGTCAAGATCCCGGATGGCCTCGACCACGCGATCGCTGCGCCTATGCTCTGCGGCGGCGTGACCGTCTACTCGCCGCTCGTGCAGTACGGAGCGGGAAAGACGGCGAAGGACGTCGGAATCGTCGGAATCGGCGGACTTGGGTGCGTTGAGATCGCCCTTGCTCGCTTTGAGTTGAGCTGATGTACCACGTACGCAGCCACTTTGGTCTCCTCTTCGCCAAGGCGCTCGGCGCGAACGTTACCGCCATCTCGCACAGCGAGAGCAAGAAGGCCGACGCTGAGAAGGTGCGTCTGCCTCGCTCCTGCTGCTTTCAACGGCAAATGCTGACACTCTCGCAAACAGATGGGCGCGACCCGCTTCATCGCGACCCACTCGGGCAGCGACGACGACTTTGCGCCGTACAAGCGCTCGCTCGACCTCATCATCTGCACGACCAACGACACCTCGATGCCCCTCATGGGCTACCTCTCGCTCCTCCGTCCCGGCGGAAACCTCATCCTCGTCGGCGCGCCGGAGAAGCCCGTCGCGAAGGACCTCCCCGCGTTCCCGTTCATCATGGGCGTGAGTCGAGCTACCCTTCCCCTGCCCTCGCTCCTCAGCGCCGTACTGACACTCTGGTTGGCAGAATGTCCATCTCGGCGGCTCGGCTATCGGATCGCCCTCGACTATCAAGGAGATGCTCGAGCTTGCGGCGAAGCAGAACATCAAGTCGTGGATCGAGAAGCGCCCCATGGAGGTGAGCGCTCCCCTTCCCTTCTCCCGCGCTCCACAAGGCGCTCTTGAGCTATCAGTTGCTGATGCACGCCCTGCACTCAAAACAGGACGTCAACCAGGCCGTCCCGGACATGCACGCCTCGAAGGCTCGCTACCGGTGCGTTCTCTCGTCTCTTCTCCCTTCTCGTCTCGCACCTCCTTCTGACGGTGTTCTTTACACACGCAGCTACGTTCTCGTCAACACCAAGAACGGCGGCAAGCTCTAAGCGACCACCTTGCCCTCCGCTCCGTCTTCCGCAAACAAATTCTAGATGCTCGCTCGTCAGCGGCGCTCCTCGCCTGATACATACACTCCGTGTGAAATACACAACCAAGTCGTGCCCGCCGCTGCCTCGATGAATGCTGCCTGAGCTGCGAATCGCGAGAATGCCGCTGTCCTCCTCGCACTTCACACTCTCCCGCATGCTCGATCCTCGCCCCTTGGCTTGCAGCAGGTGCATCCGACGACGTGCGGCGGCGGTTCTACGGCGATTTGATGAGACAAGCAATTTTCGCAAGTGCCCCGAGTCGGGTGTGTGCCGGCCGACAGAAAAGCTCGTCCTCCTCGCGCTCTCACAACGTCGCTCGCCGCCTCACGACCACCACGGCGGAGATCTGCTGTGTCGAAGCTGTCGGCGGTGCTGATCTGTGTCGTGGAAGGCGTCGTTGAGACGGTGGGAAGGGTCACCCTTGGAGCGAGCTCGCAGGATCTCGCCTTAGCCGCGATTTACCTCTCCCGCCCTGACCCGACCGGGCTCCGCGATCCTCGAGGAGGCTCGCTGTACGAACGATTGGACTCGTGTCCGCCGTTCCCGGATCCTGCTTCCCCGGTTTCTGCCCATCAGCCCTCGAGACGGACTCGCCGGCGACGTCTCCCCGCTGGCAGGCAGGGATCGCTGTGGCTGCTTTGCTGGCTGGGCAGCTGCGGACACAGCTCAGGACAAATGAATGCACAACCGGAACAAGCTGGATTTCGCGCATCGCGATCGCCTCGCAAGGGAAGAGAGCACTCAACCCTTTCCAAGAAACCTCGTCCGCTTCTCCGTCCTCTCTCTCTCTTCCTCTTTCTCTTCATTTCACCTGCTTTCGTCGCTCCCGTCTCGACAGCCACGATGCCTGTCGAACCCACCCTCACTCCGCTCCAGAAGGACACGGCTTTGCACGACAGTCCCATCGCGCCTTCCTTCGATGCGGACCTCAAGCTTTCACGTTCCGAGGCGGAACAGCTCGACAACCTCAAGGTCAGCGACGAGGAGCTCGTCGGCAGCTTGACCTACCAGCAGCTCACGCTGTACGAGAAGAAGTCGTGCGTCCTCGACTCGTCTTCCCCACCTCGTCTCGCAAACGCTGACCTAGCTCGTCTCGTACAGGGTTCTCGTGCGTCGATTCGTCTCTCGCAACTCAACGACAACGAGGTAGGAGCTGACCCACCTCGAATGCCTCCAGATCAACCGCGAGATGGATATCATGGTCCGCTTCTTTCGCTCGACCTTCTCGATCGAAGCGGAGGAACTGACAGTCGCTTCCTCTCTACAGAACCGCGCCTCTTTCTGGAAGCTCGGACGCTACCAGGTGCGTTCGTGCCGTGTCGATAGCGCGTGAGCCAGTATTGACATCCTTCGCCACCCTTTCGCAGTGGTGCATCTTCTTCGCAAGTCTCTCTTCGCCAGTTCAACGGCTCTAGACAGCTCCTAACGCTCGTACTCATTCAGCTCTGCGGCTTCGGCTACTTCCTCGACCTTTGCTGGGCGCAGGCCTTTGGCCTCGTCTCGGGTGCTCTTCAGCAGGTGCGTTGCGCTTTCGCCGTTGCGACGCACTCATCTTTTATGAGCGATGTACTGACTTGCGCATCGGTCGCAGGAGCTTGGTGTCCCCAACAACCGGATTGGTGACCTCTCGACCGCCTTCTCTGCCGGTCAGCTTCCTCCTTTCCCTTGTTCCTTCGCCTCGCGCTCACTCCCAGTGCTTCGCAGGTATGACCGTTGGTGCTCTTTTCTGGGGTCTCGCCGTCGACATCATCGGCCGGCGCTGGGCGTTCAACATGACGGTTCGTCGCGCTCCGCCCCTTTTGCGCTGCCTCAGGCAGCTGACGCTCTCCGCGCTGCAGTGCCTCATCTCGTCGGTCTTCGGTCTTCTCTTCGCCTCGCCTAGCAACTTTGGCGCCCTCTGCTTCTTTGCCTCGATGATCGGTCTCGGAGTTGGCGGCAACATCGTGAGTCCTCTTTCCTTTGCGGAGGAGTCACTCGTTCTTGCATAAAGAGCGGTACTCGGAATGAGGAGCGTCACTGACATTGGTCGGACTTGCAGCCCATCGACGCGACCATCACCCTCGAATTCCTCCCGACCAACCGCCGCTTCCTCCTCTGCGCCCTTTCGACCTTCCAGCCTCTCGGCGTCGTCGTCGCCTCGCTCGTCTCGTGGGGCCTCGTCCCGCGGTACTCGTGCGACACCTCGTACAAGGCGTGCAGCTTCCCCGAGCGCCCTTGCTGCACCAAGTCCTCTAACATGGGCTGGAGGTACACGATGATTGTATTGGGCTGCATCACGCTCGGTAAGCTGTCTCAGATCTCGCCCGTCCTGCAAAAGCTGACCCGACTTGCGCGAACAGGGATTTTCTTCCTTCGTTTCGTCCTGTTTACGTTCTACGAGTCGTGCGTTCCACTTTCCGCTCATCAGCCCTTCGAATCGCGCTGACTCGCTGCTCGTAGGCCGAAGTTCCTCCTTGCAAAGGGCAAGGACGAGGAGGCTATCGACGTCCTCTACAAGATTGCCGCCTTCAACCGCCAGCCCCAGCCTCAGCTCACGATTGACGACTTCCGCCTTCTCGACAAGGAGTACTCTGAGCGCGAGTCGATCACCTCGGACGAGCCGCTCTCGTCGGGTCCGCGCCAGTTTACGACCGGCGAGATGGCCAAGATTCGCGTCAAGCAGGCTGTTGGCCAGTTCGCCCACCTCAAGGGCTTCTTCGCCACCAAGCGCATGATCTGGGTCTCTGTCACTCTCTGGATCGCCTACGTGCGTTTCGTTTCGAATCACTCGACGCGAGGAAGTCGCTGACCTCCGTCATCCGCAGATGTCGCTCTTCTGGTCCTTCTCGATCGCCGGCGGTTACCTCCCGCTCATCCTCCGTCAGAAGGGTATCGACACCAGTGCCGGCCTCAACGAGACCTACCGCAACTACGTCGTCGTGCGTAGCGTTTCCTTGCCTCATTCCCTTCCTTCCGGCTGATCTTTTCCTCGACAGGTCTACTTGCCGGGTGTTACCGCCACCATCCTGGGTTCCTTCGTAAGTCTATCGCGTTTCGCAGCCCTCAGTTCGTCGCAAACTGACCGTCCTCGCCTTGCAGCTCATGGAGATTCCCAAGGTCGGCCGCAAATGGGCGATGGCATTCGCCGCCGCGCTCATGGGAACCTCCCTCTTCCTCTTCGCCACCATCTCGTCGTTCGCCGCGTACACCGGCATGAACCTGCTCGAGTACTGGGCGCAGTCGCGTGAGTTAAGGTTTTATGCTCGCCTTCTCTTCTCTCATATCGACACTCTTGCTTGGTCGTAGTCTACGCCGCCCTCCTCTACGCCTTCACACCCGAGGCATTCCCTGCGCCTTTCCGCGGCTCCGGTTCGGGAATCGCCTCGACTTTGGGTCGCCTTTCGTCTACTGTCGCGCCCATCGCGGCCGGGACAATTTTCTCACCCAGAAGTCCATCGGTGCTCTACCTTTCTGGTGGTGCAGCGTTCGTGAGTATGCTCGCGATTCTCTGCCTTCCATACGACACACGAGGCCGCCACACCTTCTAAGGCGGCCCACCACCCGCGTCTTTCCTCCCACCGGTCGGTCCATCCCGCCGTCCATAGTCTGTATACATGTCTGGAACGACGATACTTTGCCGGGATTCGCGTTTCGAGCACTCGCGAGAAACGGCGAGGAACGGGCTCTCAAGGCTCGACCTTCGCAAGCTGATGTTTCTCTTCTGGTAAGCGGAGCTGCCACCTCGTTGAGCTGTTCATGCACGTGGAAAGCAAACGCTGTCGCAAAGGAAAGGGTCAAGGGCAGCGAAGTAGATTGGCGAAAGCAGCGTGTTACAACAAGGTCCGTATTCGAGTCCGACAAGCGCCCGCTCTCCAGCACCAACTTCACCTTGAGCCCGGAGCCCCAGCATACCGCTCCATGCCTAGTTGCCTACGCCGGGAGAGCGCCACGCGACGACTTCGTACTCCGCATCGCCGTCTTCCGTCGGCTTTGCGCCCATCTTGCAGAGCGCAACGCCGTTGATGGGCACGCCCGTCGCCCAGACAGCCTCCTCGAAGCGCGAGATGACCGACGAGAAGTCGTACCGCGTCGGGCGATGCCCAGAGCTCGAGTAGCGCGTGTTGACGATGGTTGCGTGCAAGAGAACTTCCCTCCTAGTCGGGTCTGGCTTCCGCATGAGGCCGGCGTCGACCGCAGCGTCGTGCAGCGCTTGAGCAAACGCTTGAAGGCGATTTGTCGGGTCGGAAGGCGAGAGGTAGAGGATGGCGGCCGAGCGAGCGGGTTGATGCTTCATCGATTTGAGGGAGCGGAGGTCGACGACGAGGGGTTCGAGTGAGACGGCATCAGCCTTGTCGTCGCGCATATGCTCCTCCTCTCGACGCACTCGCGCCGCTTCGCCCGCCCGCCTGAGCATCTCCTCGACATCAACCTCCTCCTGGAGCCACCGCTTCGCGCGCTCGAGCTGCTCGTCGTTCTGGAGGTGCAGCGCGCCGAGCGTAAGATGTATCGTCCCAATAGGTCGCATAGCTTGGAGTGGAACGTCAGGCGGGAGTGCATTCCGGAGCAAAGGGAGGGTGTCGGCGAGTTGAGAGACGACTCGAGGGGTATTCGTGAGAGGGAGGGCGAGGAAGTGGGTCGGCATATCCCGCAGGCGCTTGGTACGATCCTTTAGAGGTACGGGCGTGCTGCTCGAGGGTCCTGGCCGCTTTGCTGAATCAGACGAACGAGCGACTGATGAGAAAGTGAGGGCGGGCAGAAGTCGAGGAGTAAGGTTATAGGCTGAAAGCGGGTGACGCAGAACGGCGGACAGGTAGCTATCCAAGCGCGACAAGCCAACTCCAAGCATCTGGCGTGGCTAGCGACGTCAGGAGGGAGACAGACCCTTGCGAACACCTCTCTCGCTCAACTTGTTCGCTTGCATCGTTTCTGTAGGGCTTAAAACTGGCTGAGCGACACTTGCAGTGACGATGACAGTCCACCACGCCCCGCCTCCAACCCTCCTCACCCAGACGACGTTGCTCTCGCTCGCTTCGACCGTCGCTCTACTTGCCCTCGCTGTCGCGCTCGCTCAGCGCCTGTTGCCTGCCAGAAGGTGCGCACACGCTCACAAGAGGCTCAGCTATGATGGGCGGACCTCACTGGCTGATCGGACGCACCGAGCCCGCTCACCATGGTCTCCCCCTCCTCTCAGATACGCCGGCGCTGCCCAACGCTTTACCTTTGTGTGGCTCGCCTTCGATGCGCTGGTGCACTTCACTCTCGAGGCCTCCTTCGTCTTCCACTCCTTCCCGCGCCCTCGGACTGTTAACTCTGGCACCGGTTCGTCCCTTCCCTCCTCCCTGCTGCTCGCGTCTGACGAGATGCGTCCTTCACGCTCTGCCCAACTCGTTACACCACACAGGTCCCTTCGCCGCTCTCTGGCGGGAGTATGCCCTCGCCGACACACGATGGGGCACGAGCGACCCGACCGTCGTGTCCATCGAACTCATCACGGTCCTCGGAGCTGGTCCTTTGGCAGCTTACTGCGCCAATGGGATGCGACGACCAAGGAACGAGGCGTGGAGGCTTTGGATGTGCGTGCGAATCCTCCCTCTCAGCGCCTTCAAAGGACGGTCCTGATCTTTCTCGATTTCGCAGCATCATCTTGTCGTGCGTTCAATCGTGCCTCGGGCGATTCGTCGGAAACTCGACTGACGCGAGCATGAGCGCAGAGTGGCGGAACTGTATGGCGGCTGGATGACCTTCGCTCCCGAATGGATCACCGGCTCGCCCTCGCTCAACACCTCTCACCCGCTGTACACCTGGGTCTACCTCGCCTTCTTCAATGGACTGTGCGTTGACTCCGCTGGTTCCTCTACCATCTGAGCTAATGATTGGCGCTTCGTCAGCTGGGTCGTCATCCCGCTCTGGCTCATCTGGGATTCAGGAAGGGTCATCTTGCGGGCGTTAAGCGTAACAGAAGAGACCAAGGCGAAGTAGGGCAAGTCGTAACGGCAGGCAACAGGACTGGGGGAACGGCTGAAGGCTTGGGCGACGCCAAGGTCGACGCATCGAACGCGGGATCCAGGGCCCGCTGCGTCGGTCATGACCCACGACTTTCAATGCCTCCCTGATGTACCTCTATCGAGCTCGCTGAGCGTCAGCGCAGCTTATCGTACCTCCTGCGATTGCTTACACCTCCTCGTCGACCAATCGTCGACCTCGCGGTTGCTGCGGCTTGATCCGCGGCGACTCCGCCTTTCTCTCCCCGGCCCGCCTACGCTATCACCGCGTGCGGACGGACCGATCGCGTCTGACACGCTTCCATGGACTTTCCGCTGCCCGCACAGCTCGCCATGCGCTCACTCATCTCGCTCCTCTTTCTCTACGCTTCACCCGTTCCGTTCCTTTTCGTTCCTTCTCTATCCCTCCGACACTTGCTGCTGGTCCAGCCCTCCTACCGACGCCCTACACTCGCTCCCACATTCGTTTCCCTACTCCCCACCGCTCAGGCCCCCCTCACGATGGTGGCTTTCAAGGCGACCGCTCTGGCGCTGTCGCTGCTCTATGCCGTTCCAGGGTCACTCGCTTTCTTCAGGATGCCGCTCGACAACCCGGTGCGTCCCGAGTGCTCCCCTTCTCCCATACTGAGACGAAAGCTGACTCTTCTCTCCTTCCGTGATGCCGCAGCTCATCGTCGAGCGAGCCGACCCGATCATCAATCCCGGCACCGTTTCGGCGCACGTCCACACCGTCTCGGGGGGCAGCAACTTCAAGGACTCGGTCACCTACGAGGAGTTGCGAAACTCGACGTGCACCTCTGCCAAGGCCGTCGAGGATAAGTCGGCCTACTGGACTCCCCAGCTCTACTGGTGGAACAAGAACAACACTTTTACGCCCGTCCCGCAGATTGGCGGCGGCTTGATGTGCGTCAACTCGCTTGCTCTCGCTCTGGCTTGCCACGCTGACGCCCGTACGCGCAGCTACTACCTCTTCCGCTACCACCCGTCGGACAAGTATCCTATCAAGGCCTTCCCGCCCGGTTTCCGCATGGTGACGGGCTCGCCCATGCTCCGCACGAACAACCGTACCTCCGGCCCCGACCAGGACATTATCGGCTGGAACTGCCTCGGCAGCGCCAGTCCGACGAGGGAGACGGGCTTCCCGAAGAACAAGGTCTGCAGCGGCAACTTGAGGGGAGAGATCCGCTTCCCTGTACGTTCTCCTCCCTCGTCCGGGTTCTCCTCCTCTTTTCTCGATTGCTAGACCCGACTAACTCCACGCGACTTGCTTAACAGTCCTGCTGGAACGGCAAAGACCTCTACAAGCCCGACGGAAGCCACATGGCCTACTCGGACGGAGAATCGGGTCCTGTACGTCCGCCTTTCCCTCTCCCCTTCTTCCCTCCCTCTCCGCTGATTTCCGTCCTCTTCAGTGCCCGTCTACTCACCCTCACCGTCTCGTCACCCTTTTCTACGAGATCAGCTACTACACGCAGGCGCTCGAGCCGTTCCGCAACACCGCCATGGATCCGACGCAACCTCTCGTCCTGGCCAACGGTGATCCTACCGGTTACGGCTGGCATGGGGACTTCTATTCAGGGTGGCCTGTCGATCTGTTACAGAAAGCCATCGAAACCTGCGTGAGTTGGCGGTGGAATCGCCGTTATTCGGTTCCCTGACCTTCCTACCCGCAGACGGCGGACAGCGGCGTCATCGAGGAGTGCAAGATCATTGAACTGTACGACCGGAGCGACCCGAACCACGCCGCCTGCCGCAAGACGCCCGACTTTAACGAAGTCGTCTTGGCCAACCTCCCCCGTCTCCCCGGCTGCAACCCTATCACTCGCACCGAGAAAGAGGCCATCACCGGCATGACCAGCTGCAAGAACCTGGCGACGCCCAAGCGCTTCAAGCCGACTGTCTACGAGGGCAACATCCCTCCGCCGGGCGCTCATGTCCTTCCTGGGTAAGCCGTCGAGTCCTGTGCCCCGTCTCCGAACGTCGCTGACACCGGTAGGTATCACAGCACTCCGCAGACCGTCACCAAGTACGGCCAGTGGACGTACAAGGGATGCTTCGCCGACAACAACCCCGGCCGCGCTTTCCCTAAGCGCATCGACATCCCGAAAAAGACGGTGCAGTCGTGCCTCGACACCGCTGCTGCTCAAGGGTACGGCTACGCCGGACTCGAGTACCACGGCGAGTGCTGGGTCGGTCCGAAGCCATCGTCACCGAAGAAGCTGAATGTCGGGTGCGTTCGCTCGCCGGCTTCTCGCCCCTCGTGAAGCTGACTACGTTTACGTACAGCCTCTGTAACGCTCTCTGCGACGACGACAACCTCTCTTACTGCGGAGGCGGCTATCCGGCAGCGTTCAGCCTCTACGAGCTCAAGCGCAAGACGTCCAGCCGGCGACACCTCTTGTCCGACATGCACTGATTCGCCCTTCTCAATCTATTTCCTCCCCGCTCCTCCATACTCCCTTGTCGCTCGGCAGCGCCGTCGTACTCCCTGACTTCGTCTCTCTCACCTCTATTTCGCCCTGTGCTGCTTGCTCCACTCTTCCGACAGTCTCAGTAGCCCTCTCCTGCAGACCTCGCTTGCACTGCTACCGCGCCCTTTCGTCGGATCGTCTCTCGAGTATCGCGACGCGAACATGGTCTGCGAAAAAACGATTGCGAGCTAGGGTAATTACAGGCATGGCACGAGAGAAGAGGGAAAGCGCATCGAGAGAAGGGAAATGAAGACTGGGAATGATGGGGACTCCGGCGCTGTTCTAGCAAAGCCCAAGCGCGAAGTCGACCCGAAAAAGCGGCCACCTCGACCTGATCACAACTCCTCGTCCTCGCCGGTCATCGCCTCGGAAGGTTTCACTGCGTGCGAGCAGCAGGTCAGCAGGTGCCGAGCGTGGGCGAGAGCATGCGCGGACTCACGCATTCCGGGCACCGCAGCAGCGCGCGCCTGATCCTCGTCGCGCTTGCGCTTCGCCTCCTCCTCACGCTCCTCCGCGTAGATGTCGGACGCCTCCTCGCCCTGGAACTCGCGAAGCGAGACTGCGGCGATCGATGATCAGCGACAAGAACGCTCTGCAGAGGAGACGGCCAACTCACTCAGGAAGTCTCGCAGAGTGATGCGGAACTTGTTGAAGTCGCCGTACTGCTCTCGCAGCGCCGAGACGAAGGCGGTGATCTGAGCGGGCTGGAGATGGGGGAAGGCAGACTTGAGGAGGTTGGCGGTGTAGTCGGCGACAAAGACGCCGTTGTTGGCGGCGGACGGGTCGAGCGGCGCCTGGATGTCGCCCTGCTCGACGAGCTTGAAGAGGCGGGCGAGGACGAGCGCGGTCGACTTGAAGCCCGACTTGTGGTCGGCGTCCGTCAAGACGAAGAACATGTCTTGGAGCAAGGCGAGGTAGTACGCCTGGAAGAAGCCGTTCGACGTTTCCGGGCCGGCCGCGACGACATTGTCGATGAGCTCGACGCAGATCGTCAAACCGAGGTCGCCTATGTCGCGCATCGTGTGCTTGGTGGCCCAGACGACGGCGTCCATGACCAGCTTGAACTGCGGCGCCGGGATCTTGAGCAGCGCGTCGAAGCAGTTCAGGTTGATCACTCGGAGCATCTTGAAGAAAGCGACGCGGTGTCTGCAAAACGATCGCGGTCAGCGGGCGAACATCGCGGGCGGCTGAGCGAGACGCACTCGGGGAACTCGGTCAAGTCCTGGTTGATCATCGAGAGCGTGCACTCGAACACGGCGTCGAGAACGGCGGGGACCTTGTCCGTCATGAGCGGCTGCGCGAGAAGGCGGTCAGCTGGGATAGAAATCACAGAAGCGAGCGGCCACGCACGCCGAGGCGAGAGACGATGGTGACCATGGTCGAGAGGACCTCGGCGTCTCGTGCTGCAGGAATGTTCTGCTTGTAGTCGCCGAGGATCGCCTCAAGGAGAGGCGGGATGAGGTCGCGGTTGACCTGCTCGAGGTCTTCCGCCTTGCGAATGTAGGTCTCGCCGACAAGCTTGAGGATCTCCTTCTTGATCGTGCGCAAGCCGCGGACCTTGGGCGTCTTCGTCGCGATGAGCCCCTGCTCCGCCGTCGTCGCCGAGATGATGCCCGAGACGGCGGTGTACAAGCCCAGCAAGTCCATGTAGATGCGAGCGAGCTGAGGGAGGAAGAAGGTGCCAATGGACGAGCACGCCGCCGTGTTCGTCTTGAGGATATTCGAGAGGATCTTGATGTTCTCTGGGTCGGAGAGGATCTCGGCGCCGCTCTGAGCCGCCTGCGCCATCAGGCTGTCCCACGCCGCGTTCGGCGCCTGCATGAGGTTCGCGATGAGGAGCTCCTGCTGGGGCTTGTTCGGCTGCGCCGAGATCATGTAGCCAACCGCTTCGTAGAACGTGTGGATCTGGAGCGGTGCGAGGTCGGAGGTGATGCGCTGGAGGTTGCGGAGGATCTCCTCGATAAACGGCTCCGACTCGCCCGACTGCTGCATGACGAAGTGGCGGCGACACTTTTGCGCAATCTTGATGAACGTGTCGCACGCCATGTCCTGGACACCCTCGTGCGTCTCGTGCATGAACTCGAACAGCTTGTTGACGACCGTCTTGAGGAACTTCCAGTGCGCCTTCAGGAAGCGAGGGTATTGTCCGACGATGTACATGATGTTAGACGCGCTGCGGAGGAGAAGAGGGTTAGTTCGGTGCGAGGGGAGGAGATGAAGTCTCGAGAACGCACACGACGGCCTTGTTGTCCTTGCCGCGCTTCATCTCCGTCAAGCCGAGCAGGTCTGGAGAAAAGACGTGGACGTGAGCTCAGCACTACGGATCCATGGAGGCTGGGAGCGCTGCGCGTTCAGTCCGTTCGCCAAGACCTGTGCATGGGCACTCACCCTTGATGACCGTGACGAGGAAGCGCTTCTCCGTCTCCTCGTTCATCGCGCCCGAGATCGATCCGATAGCCCAGCAAAGCGTGTTGAGGTTCGCCCACGACCACTCGGAACCGTCGACCTGCTTCGAGAGCTTCTCCGTCACTGCAGGCGCGACGAGGCGTCAGCAGGAAGCCGTGAAGGGAGACAACGAGTCGCAACGCACTGATCATCTCGGTGTCGACGACGTCGAGATGTGTGAGGTAGACGAGAACTTCGCGCATGCTCTTGTACAGGACGACCGTGTCCGTGTCCTTGAGGAACTCGCGGACGATCTCGCCCTCGTCGTTCTCGACGATAAGGACCTGCGAGCGAGGAAAACGAAGGAGCGTCAGCTCTACGAGCGCGATTATCACGCTACGGCTGCTCGCCCTTGAGCTCGTCGCAGCGGTTCTCGGCGAAGGATAGACCTGACGCACCTCCTCGGGCTTCGCCATTCGCTCGACCATGACCAGCCGCAGGTTCGACAAGACCTCCGTGTAGATCCCCCGCCTGCCCTGTCCGCCCGCTCCTCCCGCACCGCCGAACCCGCTCATCCCGCCGAGACTCAACAACGGGTTCGCCGCGAGTTCTCCGCCGGGGAATTTCTGCATCTCGTCGTACAAGTCGGCGACGAGCTTCGCCCAGTACTCGAGACAGATCTTGAAGATCTCGCGCTCCTCGACTTGCGAGATCTTGATCAGGTAGAGATGGGCGTTGAGGAGGACGTCGCGGTGTGAGGGCGTCTCGAGGATCGTGACGTGCGCCGAGAGGAAGTTGGTGAGGAAGATGGCGAGGTTGAGGACCAGTTCTTGGTCGGCGTCGGAGGAGTTTTCGTAGGCGCCGGCGATGTCTATCGAAGGTGACCTCCATCGTCAGCAACTTCCGCCAGGTGGACGCGGCTATCGCAGCGCATCGTGAGAGTCCGAACGCACCTGTCGAAGGCGGAATCATCTTGTTGACAGACGTCATGACCATGTTGAAGAGGATGATGAACTTCGAGTTGTACTCTGCGCCGATTTGGAGGCCGCCAATCTCGGACAAGCACTTGAGCGTGACGTTACGGAACTCGGGGACCTCGAGGAACTGCGTACAAGGTGCGAGTCAGCATACGGACCGTCAACAGCTGAGTAACCCACACGGGCTTGGCGAGCGCAGACGAGCAGCGTCCCGGACGCGGACTCACCCTTGTGATCAGGTAGTCGATGACAGGCGTCTCGAAGATGTATCCGAGCGGGATCCAGTTGAGGAAGCGGAGCATGGCCTCGAGCGTGACCTTGATGAGTGACGGCTTGTCGGCCTTTTCGAGCACCTCGACGCACAGCGAGAAGACTTCGGCGAACTCTTGGCACTGCGGGCGGGAAAAAAGATGAGTCACAGCGTCTCTTGTCAGGAGGACACGCTCAAGCGGGTCCGCAGGCCTTGCTGGCGAGTCCACGCCAGACGACCGACTCACAATCTGCGCCTTCATCGCCTTGGTCTTGGCCGTCGTCATCTGTTCCGCCGAAAACTCGAAGATCTCTTCCGACAAGAGGCGGAGGATGACCATGTTGTTCTCGCAGATCGAGAGGTTCGCTTGAGACGAGGTGACGATTTCGGGAATGAAGGTCGGCCAGTTGTGGGGCCTGTGAGTGGCGAGGGGAGGTGCGTCGAGGAGAAAGAGCGGAGGAAGAGGACGGAACGCCTCGTGAGTCTCGCGGTTTCGAGCGGAAGCGCAGAGGAGGACGTCGAACGCACCACTCCTGCTTGAGAATCTGCACCAAGATGAGGTTGAGCTTGTTGAGGAAGCTCTTCTCCCTCTTGAGCGTCGCCTCGTCGCTACTCGTCTTGACGATGACCTGGACGACAAAGTTCCTGATCCCGCTCCGCTGCTCCTCGGGCAAGACCTTCCATCGCGTCTTGATCAGCCGGTCGAGAATCTGCAGCGCGATGTACTTGGTCTGCGTGTTGGACGACGTCTCGAGAATCGCTGGGACGCGTTGCCAGGCTTCGGGGTTCTCCTGGAACTGGGCGAGGACCGTCGACGCTTGTTGTTGCTGCAAGGGACGACATGGCACCAGAATCAGCCTCTTCCCCGTCGAAAGTGAGCCGATATCGCGACGCAGATCCTCACGCACCTGCGTTCCGGCTCCCGTCAGCATCACCTGCGCGACCTGGTCCAACAATCCGACATCGAGCGGCTGGCTAAAGTCGAGAATGGCCTGTTTCGGACGTGCGAGAACGTTGTCAGTGCGGTCGAACCTCGGCAGCAGGATGTTGAGGTCGTGAGTCCGAGGTTGTTGAGGCAGCGAGAGGAGGGGTGGAGAGCGAGGGGCGAGGCAGGCGGCAACAGCCGTACGAGCTGTCGATACGCCTCGGGCCGAGTGGGGACCTGCCCAAAAGCCTCCTCAACTGTCCCGCTGCCCGTCTCGCACGGCCTGTCCTGCCGCTCCTGCTCGCACCCTCGTTCCTGCGTTCATCGGTCGAAAGGCGAGTTCCTCCTGCTCCTGGCCGGCCGCTGATGTGCCTGCCCTGCCTATCCAGCCCTTCAAAGCCTCCCGAGCTGCTCATCCAGTCCCCGAGTGACCGCCACCGCCGTCCCGTCGTGCATGTTCGACCAGGTCGCTCGCGGTCGAACAACTCACCTCCATCGTTCCCGAGCTCGCGATGCGCTGTGGCGGGCTGCTGTATCGAGTCGAGTAGCTCGACGCGAGTGCTGGCGAAGTGGCTGGGTGCGCGCTGGACGAGAGGGTGTGAGAGAGCGGGTCGTTGGTGGGGGAGAGAGGGAGCTGGCCAGTGTGCTGGGGCGACGCAGGCGAAGCGGTGGACCTTGAGTCCGTGTTCAGCAAGCGTGCGAGGGTGGGCGTGCGCGTGTGTGCGGTCCTTTAGACTGCCGGTCGCGAGGAGGAGGACAAGGGAGAGCAGGACTGGATGAGCAGACGACACCCTCGCACAGACGCTCTATCTTGCACGCTGAATGCTCACGGTGAGTTCAGAAGAGATCTCAGAAGCAAGATTACGCAGGAGGAGGCGGAAGCGGCGAGTCGAGCAGCGACATTCGCGATTTCCTCGAGCAAGTCGTCCTGGATAGTGACTGCAATGCATTGCGAAGAAGGAGTCCTGCAAGTGATGGCACGACAAATGACGGTACTGCTTGAAGAGTCGAGGCGGAAGACGGAAAGAGATGCAGCGCAAGTCGAGAGAGGGAGGGTATGGCGGGAACGGCGAGGTCGGCTTGCGGGCGGCGGCGCGATCACCTCCAGCAGAGAATGCTGTAGCCGGCCTCGTGGACGACCTCTCCGCCTCCCCATGGGAAGTTGGCGCCGTGCTGTGGCGTAAAGCTGATCAGCTCGTGTGGAAAGGTTTACTTGGGAGAGAGAAAGGCGGCTCACCAAGTGCTCGCCCGTCTTTCCGGGCACCTGCACGCCGTCGATCGTCATCATGGCGTGAAAGAGATGCTGTCCGCCCTCCTCAAAGCCACCTTCAACAGGTCGACGGCCGGAAGGGATCTGCTCGAGCGAGGTCAGCGAGAATTCAGGTGGAAGTCCTGAGAAAGCGTCGCGAACCTGTCCGTAGCCTGTCGGGACCCATTCCATCGCCTCAGTGATTGGCAAGATGTCGAAGCGGCCCTGCGAGTGACAGCATTGTCTATGTCAGCACGAAACTGACAAGTCGCCGGCGGGGTGCAACCGTGTCCCGCTGCTCAGCTCCGGAACGCACCTCGTGATGCCTCTCAGCTCCACCGTAGCTGTACATCGCCTTTCCGTGCGTGACTTTAGCCGGGTGAACCTGCGGGGTCGGTGTGGGCGTGAGTGCGAGTTTGACTACATCGAGGCGAGGGCACCGCCGCGCCCTGCCACAAACCCAGCACATTCACTCACCGACTTCCCGTCCATCAGCACGCTGCAAACAAACACCGGACTGCAGTCCAAGTCGCGAAAGGGGGCGGGTCCGGTAAGGGAGTGGTCCGGGAACGCCTGGAAGCTCGAGCAGGGGACTCGCAAGCCGGCTGCGGGCACAGACTGGGTGTACGCGGGCGGAGAAGACATGGTGGGGCGCGCAGAGGGGTTGTGGCCGACGGCGTGTTCGGGTCGAGGGGCGAGAAGTGATGAAGATGAGTGGGCAGTGAACGTGCGGCGTGGGACGGTGCTGCTGATTCGGCAGGCTTTCTCTGGAGCTGTCAAGAGGTTCAAGCCAATCCTGAGCCAAGCAGCGCGTGTGTGAGAAGAGCGAGGAGCGTCTCGATATGGACCACGTCGTCCTCCCCTCCCTCTGACCTCGACTACTCGCTTACTCAGCGGATAAGGCTGCAGCGCTCTGCCAGACACTTGCACCCGCGCTTGAAGGCTCGTCGCTGCCGCTGGCACCGGCCGAACACGCCCTGGGACTCGCTGCTCTTCCTTGCCGACGGCTCTTCAACTCAAATGTCGATTGCTCGCGCTCCACAACCGCACTTCTCAGCAGGTTCTGCGACGTGGGCGCCTTCCTCTGGCGAGCCTCGACCAGCGCGGTGTCGCTGCGCCCGCGCCAGCAGCTCTCAATTGACGCCCTTTCCTCCGCTCGACATCCGGCCGGCCCTTGAAGTCCCCACTTCGGGCTGTGATTGGCGCTAGCGTTACCGCGAGGGCTCGCAAAGCTGATCAACGCAACGAGCAGTGACGAAGCAGGCGGCCGGAGATTTTGTACGCTCTGCGGGTGCGGGTCGACCTGTTGCTCGGCGCGGGGGCGTTCGTATCCCCCGGGCGGGCGGGACCTCCACACAATCCGCTCTCCCTCTCTACCCTCACAGCTGCCTCGAGCGCTTTGCTATCGACGCTATCGACTAAGCCCACGATGAGCGACGTCGAGAAACACTTCCCGCAGGAGGAGAAGCTCGTGGCGGCCGAACACCTCGAACGCGTCTCGAGCGGCGGCGAGGGCGATGGCCACGTCAAGCTTCCGTCGCGTATGTTCACGCCGGCGGAGGAGAAGAAGCTCTACAGGAAGGTCGACCTGCGCATCATGCCCATTCTCTCGCGTACGCCGCCTCCCGCTGTCTCGCTCCGTCACACTTCCGCTCACGCCTCACCTTTCGCTGCGCAGTGCTCTACTTGCTCTCGTTCATGGACAGGTGTGTTGCTTCGACTTGGTCGTCCAGAGCGAGCGAAGGCGACGCGCTCGTCTCGACTTGGGCCTCCTCCGACTAGTCGGGAAAATTTGCTGACGGCTCTACTTCTCGCCGTGTGCAGGGGAAACATCGGTGAGTTCGACGCGACAGTAGCGGAAGGGCTACGACGGGCGCACAGCGAGAGCGTAGTCGGGATGGGCGGTTTGAGAAGGCCGCTGACATCGACTCGCCAACTTGCGCCTCCTCCGCCATTCTGCAGGAAACGCCCGCCTTGAGGGTCTCGAGAAGGACTTGAAGCTTACGAGTCAGCAGTACAACGTGAGCCGCAACCCGTCTTTGCCCCTCGACTTGTCGCTGATCCTCGCTCTTCCGCAGACCGCTCTCTCCTGCTTCTTCGTCACCTACTGCCTCTGCGAAGGTACGCAGTCCGTTAGGTTGTCTTGATCAGTGCGCACTGACCCTCCCGCTCTTCCCGTGCGCAGTTCCCGCCAACCTCATCATGAAGAAGTTCCGTCGCCCCTCTCGCTGGCTCGGCCTCTGCACAGTCGTCCGTCTCGCTTCTTCCACTCCAATTTCTCTCTTCTGTCATTGACCATCACGCTTCGCCCCAGTGCTGGTCGATTGTTATGACACTCATGGGCACGGTCAACTCCTTTGGCGGTCTCGTCGCGACCCGGTTGTTCCTCGGCATCACGGAGTGCGGTCGTGAGTCTCCCTCGTCTTCCTCCTCGCCTCCGAAGTTGCTTACGTGTCTCTTGCACAGTCTTCCCAGGCGTAATGTGAGTCTCCCTCCTCCTCCTCTTCCACCTCGCCTCCGATTTCGCTCAAATATCTCTTGCACAGCCTGTATATCTCGATTTGGTACCCACGGCACGTCAACAGCCTCCACGAGCTCAGCGGAGTTGAGCCCACGTCGCTGACTCGTCTCCTCACCTTCAGCCACCTCTCCCAGACTCGCGTCGCGCTCTTCTTCGGTGCGGCGACTCTCGCCGGAGCCTTTTCTGGTGCGTGAATGTTCTTTTGCGTCAGGCGAAGGAATGCGGAGACGGACGAAGCCGTGGGAGAGAACCTTCACTAACCTCGCTCCTTTCCCTCGCACAGGTCTGCTCGCCTACGGCATCTCCGTGCGTTCTCTTCCGCGATGCTTCACGAGCTCATGGCGCTGACCAGCGCCTCGGCTATCCCTCTGACGCTCCGCTTCCAGTTCATGGCGTGAGCTCACCCTTCCTTCTCTTCTTCTTTCTCCAGACGACGCAGACTGACCCGAACACCTACAGCGGTGTCGGTGGCTACAATGGATGGCGTTGGATTTTCATCCTCGAGGGACTCGCAACGTTCATCGTCGGCGTCTCCGCCTTCTTCCTCATCTCCGACTTCCCGGCAGACTGCAAGTGGCTCACGGACGAGGAACGCGAATGGCTCATCTACCGCAAGGCCACGGACTCTTCTTCGGTAGGCGAGGCCGAACATGTGGCAAAGAACCACGTTTGGCAGGCCCTCACGGACTGGCAAACTTACGTCGTGAGCTCCCCTTCCCTCCGTTCACCTTCTAGACGTCTTTGGCTGACTCTCCCTCCTTCTCCTAGGGCACGGCGTTCTATTGGGGGGTGGTTGTGCGAACGCTTTTTTTCCTCTTTCTCCCCAAGCCGGCCGCGTCCTGACTCCTCGTGCGAACTTGTCCTCCCTCGATCTTTTCCGTTTCCTTCCTCGTCCCTCGACCTTCTTCTACCTGCTTCCCTTCGATCTGGGACTGCTTCAACCTAACAGCTCTCTACGCCATCTCGCTCATCTCGCCGACGCTCATCAACTCCTTCGGAAAGTACACCCGCGCGGAATCTCAACTTATGACCCTCCCGGTGTATATTGCCGCATGTGCGTCCTAGTCTTCTTTCTCGCGGACATCCGAGACTCTTGATTTCAAGCGGAGGCGACGTTGTCGACGGCTCCGCTTGACGTCGACGCTGACAACGATGACCCCGCAGGCATCTTCGTCCTAGTCACGTCTCTGCTCGCCGACCGGCAGAAGAAGCGATTCGTCTACATGATGCTCGACTTGGTGTTGTGCGCGGTTGGATTGATCATCAACCGTGCGTCCAGACCTCTTCCAGCTCGCCCAACGCACGCTGACTTCTCCCTTGACCTCAGTGACGCCTGCCCCGACTGGAGTCAAGTACTTCGGGCTAATCCTAACGGCCTGTGGCGCATACGGTGGACTTCCCACGGTCCGTCCCCTCGTTCCCCTCGAAGTCGCCTGGACGCTGACCCTCTTCCTGCTTTCCCAGAGCGTCACCTGGCTTACGAACAACCTCTCTGGGCAAACCAAGCGCGCGACGGGCTCGGCTTTCCAGATCGGCATTGGTGTGCGTAGCGCCGCGAACCTCAAGCTTCTCGCGCTCGCCTGACAACTTTGCTCTCGCAGAATTTGGGCGCGCTCGCTTCGACCAACGCTTACCGCACGAAGGACAAGCCCCGCTACATCATGGGTCGTGCGTTACACGCTTCGCACCTACCCAGACTTGAAGCGCCCGGCTAACTCTCCTTCCTTCTCCTCCCACAGACAGTATCATGCTTGCCTTCACCGCCATTGGCCTCGTCGCCGCACCCCTCTACGCCTTCTTGCTCGAGCGCGAGAACAAGAAGAAGCTCGCTTACCAGGCGCTGCCGGACGGTCACCCCGACAAGAAGGTCTGGACGGCGGAGGAGATTCGGGAGGCTGGAGACAGGTTCGTGCGGTCCTCCTCTCTTGCGCTTGTTTACAGACTGACGTCGAGTTTTCGCTGCAGGGCGCCTGAGTTCATGTACACCATCTGAGCGGGTCTACAAGGAGCGAGGCGACTTCGTTGGCTCTGTTGCCCGCGCGAACGGGTCAGGCGACGAGGTCGCGCTCGTTGTGTCTCTACAAAGTGTTATTCAGTGCTTTTTGTTGCTCGAGCGAAGTTACGGATGTATCGGGACGGTACCGGCGAGGAGCGAGAGTAAGGAGCGAGAGCGTCTGCGAGGCGAGCAGGTTGGTCGGCGCTGTTAATTGCGCTGTGCTCCCAATCGACTCGTTCAACTTCGCGACGGGCGTTGTGAGCGAGAGTGAAGCAATCTGAGCGAGTGAGCGTCGCTCGAGCGACGACAAGCGTGATTTGCGAAGGTCAAGCGGCGCGTCGCGCAAAAGCGACTTGCTCTGCCACAGCTTCAAGCACGGCCTCACTGCCGCTCACAACACAGACGGTGTGGGAATAGACTTGAGTATTACATGGCCGTCTTTGAGATCGTGCCGCTTGCAGAGAGCGACTTCTGAGGACAGAGGGATCGGAGGCATCGCTCAAAGTTTGCCGCCGTTCTTGGTGTTGACGAGGACGTAGCTGCGACAGCAAGGAGCCCAGTCAGGGTACAGTACACGACGAAAACGGGGAAGCGAGCGCGCCGGTAGCGAGCCTTCGAGGCGTTCATATCCGGAATGACCCTGTTGACATCCTGTTCGAGCGTGGACCGTGCGTCAGCGACTGCCAGCGTGAGAACGTCGCGTAAGGCGCGAAAGAGGCGAAGAAGATCGCTCACCTCCATGGGACGCCTCTCGATCCACGACTTGATGTTCTGCTTTGCCGCAAGCTCGAGCATCTCCTTGATAGTCGACGGGGATCCAATCGCCGAGCCTCCCAGGCTCACGTTACTGCAACGCGAGTGAACGTTAGCACACCAGTACCAGGAAACAACGAGAGAGAGAGCGAACTCACCCGAATAGGAACGGGAAAGCCGGGAGTTCACGAGCGACGGGTCCCTCTGGGGCTCCGACGAGGATCAAGTGTCCACCAGGACGGAGGAGTGAAAGGTAGCCGATGAGCGGCATTGAGGCGTCGTTGGTCGTGCAGATGATGAGGTCGAGCGAGCGCTTGTACGGCGCAAAGTCGTCGTCGCTGCCCGAGTGGGTCGCGATGAAGCGGGTCGCGCCCATCTGTACACGGGAAAGTCAGCAGCCGTCGTTGAAAGCACAAGAAACGAGGCGGGACGCACCTTCTCAGCGTCGGCCTTCTTGCTCTCGCTGTGCGAGATGGCGGTAACGTTCGCGCCGAGCGCCTTGGCGAAGAGGAGACCGAAGTGGCTGTGGTGCATGCGGTCAGTCGAGCACCCAGAGCATCGAAGCGCAAGCTGGACGCACCCAAGTCCGCCGATTCCAACAATTCCAACATCCTTCGCCGTCTTTCCCGCTCCGTACTGCACAAGCGGCGAGTGCACAGTCACGCCGCCGCAAAGCATCGGTGCAGCGATAGCGTGGTCGAGGCCGTCAGGGATCTTGACGACGAAGTGGCCGGGGGCGCGGTGGTAGTCGGCGTAACCGCCGTACGACTTGGCGCCCTTGCCGGGACCTTCCCTCGAGTAGCGGCCGTTGTAGGTCCTGCATGAAGCGAAGAGACGGAAGTGAAGAGAGAAGGAGGTGGAGGAGGCGGAGGTCAGCCTTCGAGAATTCGAGCGCCGACATCCTGCTCCTACTGAGCGTGTGCGAAAACGGGAGCGCACCCGACGGGATTGTTGTCACAGTACTGCGGGCGGCTGGCCTATCGGAGCTCGACACCGTCAGTCGCTCGTCTTGTTTCCAGCCTGTTCGAAGCGCTTGTCCTCCCACAACGCTTCAGCGACCCCAAGCTACGCACCTTGCACTGCACGCACTCGAGGCACGAGTCGTTCTGCGCTCCGACGCCGACAATGTCGCCGACCTTGACGTGCTTGACTTGCGAGCCGACTCGGACAACCTCGCCAACAATCTCGTGACCGACGACTTGCGGGTAATCGACTTCGCCCCAGCCTGTCGCGTGGCGCACGAGGGAAGAGTGAGCTCGGGTGCGCGGCACAGCAGACTTGAAGGTAAGAGAGAGGAAAAGGGACTGCGGAAGACGAAAGAACGTACCGCCCGAAGCAGTGTGCAAGTCCGAAGCGCAGATCTGCATCCACCGAACCCTCCATCAGTCCTCGATGCTCAGCGAACGGATCTCGCGAACGTACACCACAGTACATGATCTTGATATCGACGTCGTCGTCGGCGAAAGCCTTTGGCTCGTACTCCTGCCAGACGAATTTGCCTTCGATCGAGTCCTTGGAAACGGCGCACCAGCCGTGGAACTTGGAGGGGACTTCGGCGGAGGACATGGTTTTTCCGGAGGGTTTGCAGAGGTGTTCAGGTGTGTTGGGCGTGACTGGGCAGGTTAGCAGATGAAGGAGAAGAGGGAGAGCGAAGTGATGGGAGGCGCCTTTGTCCAGACGGTGGAGCAAGGTGGAGGGAAGCGAGGAGAGGGAGGAGGCGGAGGCGAGGAGGAGGCTGATCAAGACCCGTCGCCTTGGCGCCGAAGCTGAACGCAGACAGTTGACGCCGCACTTCCGCCCATGAGCGTGCTTCGTAGCGCCGGAATAAACGTCGTCGCCGCCCGTTCCGAGCTGAGCAAGCGAGGGGAATCGTCTTCGAACGCAGCAGTCGAAGTCGCCTCGGTCCGCCTCGTCCTCGCTCCTCGTCCCGACGCTGTGTCGAGCATGCAGCGTTCGTTGCTGCTGACTGGCGAGTGGAGGAGACAGCGCGAGTGGAGGTTTCTGGCTTGATCGAGAGGTGCGAGCTGGCGAGGAGGAGGAGGTCGAGCAGAGCTCGAGCAGCACCTTCGATGGCGTCTCCGTAGACGCAGCCGAAGAGCCACATAGCAGCAAGCGTTCACCGTTGTCGCACAACACCCCTGGGCGACCTTCTCCTCGTCCCCTCCATCACACACGACGGAACTCACCAAGTGGAGGCAAAGGGACGCGCGCGCTGAGGTGAGCCAGCCCTCGCGAGTGGAGTACAGTGCGCCGGTGACCAAGCGAGCGGCAAGGCCTTCAGAGTCAGCGAGTGGAGAGCAGGAGGACGAGGAGAAGGAGGAGGAGGAGGCGAGCGAGGAGGAGGCGAGGAGGAGGAAGTGCAACTAGATTTCGACAAACGTAAAGCGCAAGGATGAGGAACGGAAGGCAGTGTCTGTTGCAAGAAGATCCGAGACGAAGAACGAGGCAAACGAGTGTGGGTGGAACCGACGAGAGCGTGAAGGGGAGGGGTGGCATGCTGAAAGAAGGAAGAAGGGCGTCGATACAACCCGGCTGAGAGAGGAAATGCAAGGTGATATGGACGGGTACAGAGGGGGACGAGATCTACAGGTGAACGAGTGTGAGAGCGCGACACTCAGTGACGGCCGAAAGTCGTGGCGGGCTGTGGAGGGGGAGTCGGTTGGAAAGCGATCGTCGGCGAAGGTGTCGGCTTGAGGCGACGCTTCATGCGCGCTGACGGGTCCAGAGCGCCGAGCGATGCGGCGGCCGCGTCCGAAGATGCGGAGGAAGCGGCAGCTGCGGCGGTGTTGGCCGACGACGCAGACGACGCCGTCGCAGCCGGCTGAGCGGGGCTCTGGCAGAAGGGCGTCGAAGGCGCGGCGACGGCAGCGCCGGACCACGGGTTCGGGTAACTGCAGCCCGAGACGGCGGTGTAGAAGCTGGCCTGGTCCGAGGCCTGCGCCCAACCGTTGCCGACGTTGACGCTGCTGGAGTAGCCGGCGGGCCAAGACGTGGGCTGAGGAGGAGCCGAGAGCGTGACGATGCTGGCCGTCTGAGTGTAGGTCGGGAGGTTCGAGACGGGCGTGATGTACGGGCCAGTCGAAGCAGCCGCGCCGATCGACGAGGGCGGCCAAACCGAGTACGACGTGAGCATCGCCTGGTCCGAGATCTTGCCGGCGCCGGAGCCGCCGGTCATCCAGGGCGCGAGGGTCGGGGCGGGCGCAGTCGTGTACGGCATGGTGAAGCCGTTCGACGAGACGAGCGACGGGCAGGCGCCGATCGCGGTGCGCGGGTTCGTCGGGACCCAGCCCTGCTCAAGTCCGAGCTGGTAGTTCCACATCGGGTTGGCGATCATGCCGAGGTCCTTCGAGACGCCCGTCTTCCAGGTCCAGAAGAACCAGTGCTGCGAGCGGGAGAAGGTTAGCCGTGTCCTCGTCGTAAAGGCAAAAGCCGCAACGCACCCTGAGAGCGTCCATGTGCGCCTCGGCGACAAGGCGGAGACCGTTCTTGGTGTCGGCCGACCAAGTCGTCCAGTCCTGCGAAAGATGACGAGTCAGTCAAGCGCTTGCAACATAGAGCCCCCACGCGAGCCAAAGTGGCGCAGAAGCACAGCGCGCAAGCTCGACTCACGTTCCAAGGGTCGCAGCTCCCGACGCTCTTGAACGCCGGCGCAGTCGTGTTACCAGGAACGTAGTACGTCCCGTCGTAACGGTACCCGTTTCCGACGTTGTTGATCCACTTGCCGCAGTCGTTGACTGCGCGAGCGAGCGGGGTTAGCGGTTGAAGGAGGGAGGGGGGAGAGCAAGACGTACTGGCGAGAGACCACTCGCCGCCCATCGTGACGCCGAACGTGTTGGTCGAGATGTTCATGTTCTCCGCCCAGTAATTGCAGGGCTGCGGCGCGGGCAAAGTCAGCCTCCGCCTCGACCGAAAAAGAAGCGTGACGAGGACGACTCACCAGCGACGCCTGGTAGCTCAATCCCCAGTTGTTCGGCTCCGAGAAGCACAAGTACCGGTGCGAGTCGAGCGCGACGCGATCCCAGCCGTTGAGGAAGCCGTTCCATCCGCCCGCCGAGACGTTGGTCGACATCGTGACGAAACCGTCGTGGAAGGTGATGAAGGGGCCGTTGCCGGCGCCGGTACCGCCGATCGAGCGCATCTGGTTGTACGTCTCGATGTAGCTGCGCGAGGCGAGCAGTCAGCGGGACGAGGTTGACTGGGAGGGAAGAGCGCGCGAACGCACAATGAGCGAAGGTTGTCGACGCCGATCGTCGTCGCGTACGGCTCGTTGAGTACCGAGAACATAGTCACGACGTTCTTGTACTCGGGCTGGCTGATGAACTCGGTCAAAGTGCGGATATAGTCGAGCGTGCGCTGGGCGTTGGCGATTCCCATCACGCCATTGAGGAAATTGATGCTGCCCTGTCGGCCGGAATGGTTGTACCCGTTCTGCGAGCCGGGAACGGCGTGCAAGTCGAGATTGATGCGGAGACCGTACTTGCGCGCCCAGCCGATCGCTTTGAGGAAGTAGGTCCACGCGACGCCTTGGAGGAATGGCTCGCCGGCCCACGTCTCGATCGCCCACCAGCCGATCGGGATGCGCACCCAGTTGAGCCCAGCGCCGGCGATCTGAGCAAAGTCCTTCTCGGTCTGCACAACGGTCACTCCGTCCAGTCAGCCGCGTCCAACTGACAGAGACCATCGCCGAACGCACGATGAAAGTCTCGTAATGCTCCGTCAAGGCAGCAGTCAAGTTCGACCCGAGGGCGACCGAAAGCGTCCACTCGTCGATGGCGTTGTTGGTCGCGTTCGGAGAGTTGTTGTCGGCGTTGAAAGGCTCAAACATGCCGGGGACGATGAAGGGTTCGAGGACGAGCCATCTGTGTGCGAGCGGGGAGAGCGAGAGTCAGGGCACTGCGTTCACTCGGAAGCGCTTCCTCGACCATCGAGTCGAGTCGAGCGGCGAGCGCAGGGAGAGGCACCGCACTCACCCTCCGATGTTGACGCCCATGATCAAGTTCTTCTCGTAGTCCCACTCTTCGTCGAGCGGGGGAACGTCGCGCTGCGCCCTGGCCGTGTCGTTGAACGGGATCGAGACCCACCATCCTCCTGCGCGCGCCGTCAGCCGTTAGCACGACGTACTCTTCCGGAAAGGAAGGGCGGGGAGCGCACCGAACGAGTTGTTGTACATGAAGCTCGACCCATCGTCGAGGTAAACCATGCTCCCGTTCCCTCCATACGCCGCCGTCTTCCAGTCGACCGGATGCGACCCAGTCGGGATCTTGGGGTTGGTGTTGTCGTTGGCCTTTGTCTCGGCCGCAAGTTTGTTCTCGCGGCCTTTGATGACGCCGAGAGGGACGGCGACTGCGGCGCAGATGAGGATGACGAGTGTGACGAGTGCGCAGATGAACCAGCGCTTTGAGGAGGTCGACTTGCGACTCCACCAGCCTTTTCCTGCGCCTGCCCCGGCAGCGCCGTAGCGCTTCTTCAACATCCCCGACCCGCCGCCGGCAGCACCGTCGTAGCTCCCCTCCCCGCCATACTCCTTCATGTAACTCTCGCTCCGACTCGTCATCCCCGTCCCGCCACCCGCATTCCGGTACGCCATCTGGTTCAAGTTGGCCGAGGAGTCGTAGACTCCCGCCGTCTCGACCGAAGGCGAGTAGCGTCCTCCGTCATCGTACGTCCCTCCTCCTCCTCCTCCTCTGAGTCGCTCCGCCCCTGCACCAGCACCAGAGACGGAATACCTCGACGTCGGATCAGGCGTCGAGTAAGCGCTCGAGTAAGTCTGCATCGACTCGCTCCGCTCGTGGTATTCCGGGCGGTGGGGGACAGAAGGGGGCAAGGCGGCGTAAGCTGAGGAAGAGGGGTTGACGAACTCGGGTGAGCGCGGGGTGATGGTGCGGATGGGAGGGTACGAGGCGTCGGATGTGGGGATGGAGGAGTACAGGTCGGCGGAGGAACGGTGGCGGTCTGCGCGGGAGGCGGTAGACATGTTCGCCGTGTGAGAGCGCGGGAGGGGGGCGGACGCGGCCGACGAGGGAAAGAGAGTCGGACGCCGAGCGACGGAGAGCTGGTTCCGTTCGAGGAGGTGAGGTCGTCGCAAAGTCGTGAACCAGGCGCTGCTTCGTGAATCTCTGCGTGGCGCGAGTAACGAACGAGTGTCAGTCCACGCCGTCCAATCCAGCGCGCACTCCCGCCGTCGGACGACTTCGTGGGCCGCTCGAGAGCCTCCACAGACCCAAGGCCTCGCTCCCGAGACACCTCGCCCATTCCTCCAGCGAGCGCGTCCTGGCGTCCCTCGAGCATGTGCCAAGCCCATTCCGCGCATTCATCGCACCGCGAGAAGCCCTGCAAAGCGACCGAGAGAAGCGACGTCGAGCCCGCACCCCCCTGCATGCGAGAGTCGCGTCCGTTCCCGTCTCCACTCCGTCCCATGCAGCGAGAGTCCATGTGATCCCGAGTCCAACGAGGCGGGTGTATCACACCGAGCACCGCGCGTGACTGCTGAGGGTTGTGCTCGACGAGACGAGAGAGGGCTGTTGCTTGACCCGCTCCGCCACGCTGGGTCGCTCGATGCGCTGCTTGGGAGTGGGATGAAGACTCACACGGACTGCTGGGTGTGCTGCTCGAGCGGGCGAGTCGACTGGCGAGAGCGAGGGCGGAGGGAGCGGAAACACCGAGAGCGCGTGCGTGAAGGGGCCAAGAGGCGAAAGTGGGTCGACTCGCTCGTGTGTGTGCTCGCTGGCTGTAGCCTGTCAAGTCACTCTGTAGCGAACAGCAAAGGAACGAACTCGCTGCAAGCGACTCGAGAAAAACGGGGACCTCTCTTTCTCTCTCGCTGCGAACCCCCTTGCGCTAAGTCGGACAACCCCGCAAGCCTCTGATTAGCAACGAACGAGCACCCTCTCCGTCCGCCAGAGTAACGTCATCGCAAGGATTACCAGGTTACAACAAGAATCCCAATCTCGAGAAAGACAGAGAGCGAACGGCAGCCGTTCAAGCCTGCTGAGCAGCCTGCTCCTTCCGCCTCTTCAACAACGCCGGATCCTGGAACGTCCTATGACAGCTGTTCCCGCGTCCTCTCAGCATCAGCACGAGTGAGGCGGGAGGGGAGGGGGGAGGGGCGCACTTGGTACAGTTGTAGAAGAGGGTCATGGACGTTTGTGCGCGCCGGCCTTGGTCGCCGAAGAAGACGCTCCTGGGCGCGCAAGCGGGAGTGTGAGCGTGCGTGTGTGGAGGGTAGGAGAGAGAGGAGAGGGGGACGTACTCGTGATGACCGCTGTGCACCACAACATGACGTTCGAGCGAGTCAGCGCATCCGCTCAGAGCGAAAGTCTCCGCTGGCAAGGAAACGCTTCACGCACCACCTCGGACACTCGATATTGCTTCGTGGCTGCGCACACCAAACACGCATCGAGAATCAGTTCCGGCGCAACTCGACTCGCAGGTCCCCTCAGACGGGTTTCAGGACGGGAGAGCGCGGCGCGCAACGCACCAACGTCGGATCCGTATCCAAATCCTGCGTAACACCCGCCGTCTCCCTATTCCCCCACCCCACCAATCACCCACCGTCAGCCTCTTCTCGCATGTTGGGAGGGGAGGATGGAAACGCACTTGGCGATGACGATCAAGTCGTGTTTGTAGACGCAAGGGTTGTGAGTCTCTTCTTGGTAGGGACAGTTGCGGCAGGAGTAGAGGAGGACGTGGTGGATCTTGTCTTCCTGCGAGGTCACGAACGCAGTGAGTGATCGCGGAGGGGCGAGTCGGTGTGCGGGGTGGCTGTTAGCGGTGAGGGATAGGGAGGAGCCTACTTTAGGGTAGAGGAGGTTTGAGCTGTAACAACGCGTAAGAGATTCCAGCGAAGGGGTGTGCGGATCAGGAGAGACGAGCGAAGTCAGCAACTCCCCTCCCGACAGCAAGAACCCTCGTCCAGCTCATACGCACCACTCCTTGCAGAACTGAATGTCGGCCATTCTCACGCTACTTCAGCGGGACAGGTGAGGGAGGATGTGGGAGGCGTGGAAGGGAGGGAGGCGGCGAGAGGGAGGCGAGGGGGAGCGGGTGGCAAGGCTAGGGCGAGGCTGCGGGACGAGCGGACGGGTCAGTTGATTGCTCCGACGTCTTCAAGTGCTCCAGCCGGGCTTCTCCGTTGAACAGCGCGCCCTACCCGGCTGAAGAAGCGGGGAGAGCGAGCGAGTCGAGCGGGGCGTGAGAAGAGGACGTACGGTCACGGCGCGAGGTGGAGAGGCTTCTAGTGAGTCTGCGGAGCGGGTGATCGGCCTTTGAGCGTCCCAGAGCGGAGTGAGCGCGAGTTGCGTGAGCGAGAGATGGACGAGGAGGACCAGGTAGAGGACGGTCGCTCAACTCTCGCTCGTTTGACAGGTCGGTAGGAGATAATGCTGTGATACAGTGTACTAGATTTACTAGCAGTCCATCCGAGGCATTCGGAGCGAGCTGACCCCTGCCCTCCTCGTCGCTCAGCGCCGCCAACTTCGCCTGGCTCTCTTCGTACTCTCGCACCCGCACAACCCAGAGTGTGAGGCTCGCTTCCTTCTCCACCCAGACTCTGCTCTCCACTGCGCCCATTCCCGTCCACCTCCGACGCCCAGACGACCCGTTCCGACTCCGCCAGCAAGCCGAAAACTTGGGGGCTCAGCGAGGGCGCGCGGCGGGCTCGCACAGCGGGGAACGGACGAGCACGTTGGGAGGGTCAGGGACGTCGAAAGTGCGGGATTGGGCGGTCAGGGAAATTTCTGGGGACGTGAGGGAGCTGGGACGCCTTGGGAGGGGGAGGTGCTGCTCGTGCTCGCTGGGGGACAAATCGACCTCGCGTCGCCTCTGCGCTCGCTAGGCGTCTCTCCCGAGTACGGGAACAGATTGAGAGGCACCATCGCTATCGGAGCAAACTCGAGCGAGGCGAATTGGGCGGCGCGCTGACCCACCTTCGCACCCTTCCTCTCTCGACCCCCTCGACTTCCTCGGTCTCGACAGCGAGATGCCTTCGAACAAGTCGTTCCGCACCAAGGTCCACCTGGCCAAGGCTGCCAAGCAGAACCGGTGCGTCCCGCTCGCTGCTCACCTTTCGAGTCTTCACGCGGCTGACGCCGCTTTGTGCTTGCGTACAGCCCGATTCCCCAGTGGTTCCGCCTCAAGGCCGACTCGAAGATCCAGTACAACGGTGCGTAGTAGCTCAGACACCGTTAAGCGGGCGCGGGGGAGCCGGGGGACCTTGGCTCCGCTCCCCTCGCCTGCTACTCCTCTTCCTCGCTCCGCTGACCTCCCAACCGCTCTTCTATCGCAGCCAAGCGACGCAACTGGCGTCGTACGAAGCTTAACCGTTCCGTTCTGTCGAATTTGGCCCTCCGCGAGTGTCTGGCTGACCTTACGACGTTCCGCAGTCTAATCGGGTTTCGAGCGGCCTCTTCCGACACTCCCTGCGCCTTTCCCGCCTTCCTTTCGCCTCTTTACACTCCTCAGCGATCTTTTCTACCCTCTACCACTTCCCCGTACCCGCCAACATCGTTCATTCGACTCGGCGGCTTCGGAAAGGTCTGGAGGGAGACGGGCGTTCGTTCGGAGGTGGACGATGTGAGGGTTGGGTTAGGAGGGTTGTAGAGAGCTGAGGAGGGGAATTGATTTGTACGGGGAACGACTTGGGATGACGGAGACGCTGCGAGAGTCGAGGCGGAGCATGTCGAGAGGGCGCGGTGTGGCGCGGCGTTTCGTTCGCTGTGGCGCGGGACGCTTTCACTTGGTGGAGGTGCTGAGATCATGGCGAGCTATGGATCAGCCTCGGCGGTCCGATTGTGCGCGAGGTGAGCCCTAGACCAGGTCGACTGCCGCTCGCTTTCCTCCCTCCCCTGCATTCTGTCCGCTCGCTATCTATGCCTTCGCTCTCTCAGTCTCGCTTTGCAGAGTGGTGTCGGACGTTTTCGTACGACTTGCGAGGCTGTGGCTGCTGGACGGCTCTCGTCGACTCTTCCATCAACGCGCCAGACGAACTGAGCAGAGGAACAGGCCCAAGCCTCGCTCGTTGCATCCCTGAAGTGTCTGTCAAGCATCCTCACGTATGCTACACTCCTCCTATCGCCCATCCGCTCGCCCCCCAATCCTCCAAGGCGCATCCCCCTCCCCCTCCTCCTCCTCTTCGTCACTCCCCAAATCCACATGAACCTCATCGTCTCCCAACCTTACCCTCCCAGCCCCCTCCGCACCCTCCCGCGCTGCCTTCCAAGTCTGATAGCGCGCCCAGAGTCGTTTACCGAGTACGAACAGCGCGATGAGGAGGAGTGCTTTGAGTGCGAGGGAGAAGAGCGACGCGAGGAGGCGGTGGATCAGTCCGTGGGTGTGTTCAGGTCGCGAGGGGATTGTGGGAGGGTTGGAGGGAGAGGGAGAGGAAGGAGGGGGTGAGGCGAGGTCGAAGAGGGAGAGGAGGGTGGAGGGCGAGAGAGAGGTGAGCAGGGTGACGGAGTTGTGCGGTGCTGCGGGGAGGGAGGTGAGGTAAGGGAGTAGGTGGGCGTCTGCGAGAGGTGGAGGTGTCAGCTTCTCCGACTCTTGGGCGGAGAGAGAAAAGGATGAGAGAGCGCACCCAGCGCCTTGGCCCACTCGCTCCGCTCTGCACCGTCGTCAACTCCATCCACAAGCACCTTTGCGACCCTGACCTCCTTATTCGCCTCGCCCTTCCCACACGTCTGCCTCCACCCTCTCGCCCAAGCCGCCACCGTCCCCTCCACCGCGTCCTCCTCCCTCACACTCGTCTTGCCCTCCTCAAACCGCTCCATCACACTCCCATTCCCTCTCGGCATCAACTCGAAATCGCTAAACTCCAGTCCTTCGACACTGATGATCTGCAGAGTCCCGCAAGCGTGAAATCCAGGGAGGAAGGCGATCGTGCCGATGGGTTTGGAGAAGCCGTCGTCGAGTCCGAGGAACGGGGAGGGGGAGGACCAGCCGAGGAGGGGGACGAGGGCGGAGGGGAAGGGGGCTGCGAGGGCGACGAGCGGGAGGAGGAGGAGGGCGAGCGTCGGGGAGGGGCGGGAGAGGCGCATCGTGTCGATTTAGGGGCGTTGTGCGTGAGCTAGAAGCTATAGCGCCGCGCAACAGTGGTCCGGATCAAGGACTTGGTCACCGATGAGAGAGGGGAGCGAGCGGGAGATGCCGCAGGTCGTAGGGCGTGCGGACAGCCCTAGGTACTGCAGAAGACTGTAACAGCAATCGAGAGCCTGCTGGCAAGGCTTCCGCGGATGTGTGAGGATAGATAGCCGTGCGAGATGTTCTGATCAAAGAGGCGAAGTCGGCGGTTTGCTCTTCACCACTCCTCGCTGACCGGATGAAGGGCTTGACACCGGGTTAGAGGTCGACACAAGCTGTTGCTACCTGCCTCAGCCACTCCTGCGCATCCCGCTGGCCTTCAGCCATCACTCTGAACATCATCAGTTTTGCGGGCTTGTTCGTCGCTAGCGTTTCGAAGGGCGTCAATGGACGCTGCGATGGAAGCTTACATGCGTCGGAACCGGTGCGCCGTCGATGCGGACGCGGGCCATTCGGAGCTTGCGCTCCCTCGGCGAGTTCGCCTCTGCTCGACCGTTTCTCTCCGTGCTGGGCTCGAACAGCGACGCTCCCCTTGCTAGAATACTAGCTGCTCACGGTTAAACTGCTCGTGCACGTCTGCTCGACATGCAAGAGTGCGAGGTGCCGGACAGCCCGATTCCCAGTGGTTCCGCCTCAAGGCCGACTCGAAGATCCAGTACAACGGTGCGTAGCACGTCTGGCACCGCTGGGCGAGCCGGGGAGTCGCGCGACCTTCGCTCCGCTCCCCTGGCCCTCTACTCCTCTTTCTCGCTCCGCTGACCTCGCAAACGCTCTTCTATCGCAGCCAAGCGACGCAGCTGGCGCCTACGAAGCTTAACCGTTCCGTTCTGTCGATTTGGCCCTCTGCGAGTGTCTGGCTGACCTTATGACGTCCCGCAGTCTAATCGGGTTTCGAGCGGCCTCTTCCGACACTCTTTGCGCCCTACCGCCTATCTCTCGCCTCTCTGCACCTTACCGCGGACTCTTCCCGCCATCAACGAGATTTCCGTTGCCTTTGCACTGAATGTTTCGGCGTGCAGCAGCCAAAGTGGTCCTCCGAGCGCTTAAAAAGCGTTGGCTTTCGAGGCAACAGCCAAGAAGGGCATCCGCAACTGTCAGGAATGCATACAGAGGACCAGAAGACGCCGCAAACGTCTGGCGGAGAGTCTGCGGACCAGGCGGAGCGGACAGCTGGAAACGAGGGCGGGAGGAGGAAGGCAG